ACACGCCCACACACACACACACACTCACGCGCACGCACACACACACACACACACACACACACACACACATACACACTCTCTCACACACACTCACAAACACACACACACACTCACACACAGCTGCAGCAGCATCAGCAAAATGTCTTTACAAGCGTTTTGCTATGTAACATTTACTCCAGACGATTTGTCAGTCCTTTAACTGGGTTACATTATGTATTTCATGGGTTGGTCAGAGGTAATTTTGGGGGAGGTACTGATTCTCATTACCAAAGTTTTGAATAACTAGATATGGTTTACCACAAGTCGAAGTGACTTACTTTATTGTAGAAATCATGCCTTCAATCTAGGAAATGAGCAGTTTGATTTAATGCACTTTAGTATAGATCCGTTTAATTTTAGTTGCAGTGCTTCTCTGTCTATGTATGTATGTATATGTATGTGTCGTGATGCGGTGGAATCAGGCGCTCATCAATTTTTGGGTCTATGGTGTTATTGGTTTCATCTTAAAGCTTGTTCCGTTGAAAAATATATCCATCGTAACTAGGAGTGGAGATATTTGCTATTGAAGGAGATGGGGATTGCCTGGTGTAGGAGGTAAAATTTAGGAGAACATGGCCACCAAAGTTTGGTGCCTGACTTCCAAAGCTTGAGTGTCCTTGGAAACTGCTAATTAATTACTTTTTTGTGTGACTTTGATCAAAGTTTTTCAGTAAAATCCACACAGTAATAACACCTAATCTTCGGCACTGATACGACCTTATTGGGTTGCATGCAAATGCCATAAAACTCCTGCTAAAACTAAAATTTGTATGCTACTCTCTCGTAATACTTTTTTCTTCGGCATTTGTATGACATGTGCATTGCAAGCGCCGTAAAGCTCTCTCTAAAACTTCTTAAAAAGCGATGAATTGTCACTGTGGTTTTGTGTTTGACTTTATGACAGCCCCTGACCAAGACCAAGTCAATGACACGTCCTCGGCAACATCTGGCGATGAGGCGACAACCCAACAGACAACTCCTGATGCTCCAGCTGCTGGTGTGACCTCTGACCCACCTGGTGCAGGCCAAGCTGTTGACCCCACAGATAGTACAGGCTCTTCAAACGATCCTTTCGCAGACGCCGATGTGAGACACGTAAGTGTTGCTAGTACTTGTGCGGTCGAACCTGTTCTAACGGCCTCCCAGCGGGTGGTTGGCGGGTGCTCTGGTGTGGTTTGTTTCTTCATTCCTATCAAACGTCTATTGTCCTTATCTCCCCTTTCTTATTTTTTATGTTTGTTACTCTGTTGTAACACATCTAATCTTCTGGCGCTCATATGACCGTATGCAGTTGCGAGCGCCGTAAAACTCTTACAAAAACTAAATGGCCTCCCACATTAAACAGTCACCTAAATCACCCACTGACGGCCTGGCTTCTCCCTTCTTGTGTTTTTGACATTATAATGACACTGTCCAAGATGTCCACCTGCCTCAGACAGCCTCTTCTCTCCTCAACAGATGGTGGCGGTCTCATACAGTTTCAACTGTATTTTGTAAAATAAAAATTGACAATGTGTTTATTTACTCGTGCAAAAAAACTAACAACTAGCAAAGTAACTCATTCATATTCTGTCTATGGTATACACTTATTATAGGCTTCTTAATTTATCACTTAAAGCAAACATATATTTGTTTTTCTCTTATGCAGACAAATAAATGATATAATGCACATATACACGTGGTACATTTTCATGCAGATACATACACATCATGATACAGATACATGTACGTCATAATGCATACATATAAATGTACATCATTGCGCAGATTCCTGCACATCTTGCATGGGTGCTAAGAAAAGGCGGCAGGTTACTGTAATGCAGAGGCTTCTCCCCTTATTGATTTTTATATTTCCATTCACTGCCTTCAACCTCAATCCCAGTTAAAATTAAAAAAATCTCTGGCAGCTGTTTATTACAATGGGTGTATATGCTTATGTCGTTCAACGTCTCCTTGATGATAATGCGCTTTGAGAAAGTTTGAGAAGATTGAATTGTGCAGAATAAATGCTATTTATTACTATTATTATCTTTCTCCCACACACAGGATAATAACAAGTATTACACGTCGGACTACATGAACCCAAATCATTTTGAGCACTACTGGACCGATCTTCAGACGGCCAAGGAACACAAGACCTTGTCAGCAGGACACAGAGTTGCAGCGGTGAGTCTGAAAAAAAAAAGAAGAGATTATTTCAGGCCCCAATATGCTCATTAACGAGAAATATAATATTTTCCTTTTGATGCGATATTATTATTTTGTACAGTCCCTCCTGGTTTCTTCTTACGTAAACTTTGGTTGATTTGGGGTATATTAGTTTGGTTGAATTCAGAGTAATATATTTTGTTGTCCAGATTAATGTGCATATTTTGTTTTGGAATCTTGTCTTGCATCATCATACTATTATTTCTGGTGGCCCAAAGCTGGTTGTAGCAATCTATTTTATTTGTTAAGCAGCGTGGTGAAATCAGGCGCTCATCATTAATCAAAGTGAAGAAACTTGAAAATTTTCCGCAGGTTTGTAAATTTTTATACAATTTTCGTCTTTTGGCTCAACACAATTGTTGTAAATTTTCAGTTTCCACGGACTCTCAAGCTAAGGAAATAACTCATCTTTGGTGGCCATTTTCTCAGTAATTTTACCTCTGAAACCAGGCAACCCCCACCTCCTTCATTCTCGCAAATATCTCGAATTCTATTCAAGATAAGGGATATTTTTTTCGTCCAAAGCAAGACAAATGAACAAGCTTTAAGATGATACCAATAACTCTACATGCCCGAAATTTGACGAGAGCCTGATTCCACAGAATCTTGACACATTTCTTCACTTTCAAATTTTGAACCCCCCACCCCAACCTTCTGGCCTTTAGAGTTGTTTTCACAATTTTTTTCTTCATAATTTCTCTCTTTAATGGCTCTTTTCAGGTAATTCCTCTGAAGTTCGACTTCCGCTTTTATGGTCATGAGATAAAGAATGTTACCGTGGCAACTGGAGGTGAGAATTAACAACTGTATTATACAGTAAGATGATGTTGTTGAGTGCTGCAGATCAAGACAACTAGGAACCCATATGGCCAGGAACAGATGTAGATTATCTGAATAGAAATAGAAAGAACAGCCCCCCACTAGATCAACCACTAAACTCTGATGTGTTTTGCGAAAGGGTCAAACCATATGCAACTGCCTTCTTTTTATTCAGAACTGCTTTTAATCGGATTTTTTAGGGAGGAGGCTTTAGATTTTTTATATCTATATAACAAGAGTCTGAGTTTAGTCTGTGCTTGAAGTAATTCTGCGGACATGTATGAGGTACACAGCTTTTGGGTAAGCTAGCTGGTACATAATCAGTCGTCTGGGTGTGCAATAATAAAACATCGTTAGTTTGCCGGGTTTGTTTTTCTTTTTTGAGGGAATGTTGTTCTTTTTTAAATTTTTTGTTTGTCAGTGGTTTTTAATAGGGTTACGAGTAGATTGTTTTTCTTCTAAGGCCCTCTTTGAGTTCTATGTTCTATTTTGTCTTTGTCTAGTACAGCTTCATGAAGCTGTGCCACCCCCCCCCCCCCCCCCCCCCCCCCCCCCCAGCAATGCCACTGACTGAAGTGTCTTTAAGCCATTCCCAAAGGGGGGATATTAACATGTTCGTATGCAAAGTAGAATTGTAAATGGGCTGACTTATCAATGTCATGCTCATACTGGGCCGAAACAACATGGAGGAACTGCTGCTCGTATGAACTGCTATTTCCGAGGTGCCTTTATAGTCGAAGCAGACTTTGCACTGTTGAGGCTAGAGAGGTGAGCAGAGAAAGCCTGATTCCCCATTTGGACTCCTCTGTTGACATCCGCCCCTTGGCACTCATATGAACTTATGCAGTTGTGAGCGCCGTAAAAACCTTACTGAAGCTAAAACATGAGATTGTGCCTCTTCTTTTTGAATTGCGGATGGTTGGAGAGTGTCACTGTTTGGTACAACTTTTCTGTTATCCCTTTGATGCTTTTGTTTGTCTATGTTAATTACGGCCAGTGTGCTCCTCCTTAACTCAAGAACTAGACTTTTATAACAATAATTCTGCACAATGAATCAGAGATAGTTTGTACATTTATCAAAATAAATATTTATCACCTTGTATGTAAATGACTTTAAAGACATATTCATTAGAAATGAACTTTTATTTTTGTAGATCACTTAGCTGTGTTGTTTACGTTGCAAAATTATGCGAAAGGAAAAACCTCATGAGTATTGTTTCACTTTCAGCCCTGTAGGGGGAATGCAGAAGACATTTGTGTGATATTAAGTTTCAAAGAAAACCTTAAAGTAGCACCCTGTGAGGGCCTCAGAAATTGGGAATTTGCTCTCTTTAAAAAGGTTATTAAAAGTTTCAAAATGAGCAGTGATTGCTTTGTTCCTCTATTGATATATAAATATAGTATGGCAAGGGTTTTTCTATGGCTTCTCATGATGATGTTTTTAGCAACTTATTTTTCTGTCCCCCCCACTCACCCCTGTTTCAGGCTTCATCTACATGAGTCCTTTTCTACACCAGTGGCTGACAGCAACCCAGTACATTGCTCCTCTCATGGCCAACTTTGATCCCTCTCTCAGTGTCAATTCCAGCATCTACTATGAAAGCTTGGGTAAAATGACTCAAAAGGGAGGGGGGGGGGGGGTTGCTATGATTGAGGGAAAGATTAGTGTTTTAAGATCACTGAAGGTGATGTTCAGATTAAAAGTATGTAGTGAGCATTTCCATACTTCCAACTTGATGTAATGAACTTAAATATAATACTTTCAAGGAAAATGTTTTACTTCAGGCCAGGCAAGGTAAGATTAGATTTTTCTTTTGAGTAAGTGATTTGTTTTTGTTGTTGTTTTTTTTTACTTGAATATACTAAAAGCCTTGTGGATCATGGTCATTATGTGAGTGTGACAGTTTTTTTAAATCATGAGTTTCACAATTGTATGGAAAATCCTAAAATGTTTTTAGATTGTTACGGACAATGACTTATGGTGTTCATGCAAGTGGTGTCAAAATCTCAAGATTTTAACCATATTTTTTTTTTTTTAATCGATTATGATTGTGACAAGTTGGAATGCCACTACGTGTTGAAAGGAAGATCAGGTATCTTATTCACAAACATTTTTTTTTAAAATGGGAGCAAGCCATAGCAGAATATTCACCAGCTGGCAGCTAGTGTTGGACTTTCTTATGTGTTGCAAGTATGGTTACCATGACAGAATATTTATGTTTTTTATCAGGTTTTAGATGCAGTTACAATTTGTCCCTCAGTATTGTTTTAACTGTGATGGCTTATATTTATCTTTATCTTATAGACACACAGTTTACAGTGGAATGGAAGAATGTGATGTTGCAAGACCAACAGTCAAGTAAGTGAATTTGCCATCTTCAAAAGTGCTGTGTTGTCACGTCTGTTCATCTTGTTTCTGTCAATTGCACACGTTGATCAAACAGTTTTTATATCTTGGTGTTGATGGATCAGTAAATTACGTACTATAGAGCAGGGACTCTACACTGTGATCGTGAGGCCATTTGCCGCCTGTCACAAGATTATTTTTTACGGGTTTTTTTGTTGAGGTGTCAGCAATATAAAATTTAGAAACGATAATGTGAAGAAAACTTGAGAAAAGCACCTTAATACTTCGCAAACAAGACTGCAACCTCAGACTTTCACAAATTTAGTTGAATATCTTTCTTTGAAGGGCCTTTTTATTATACCAGGCTCCGTGTTGTTAACCCGTAGATGTAGCCTACATAACGACAACAAAACAACGATTTTTGCAAGAGTTTCGAGGAGTTTCGATCGATATTGATGCTCAGAGATTGAGGTCAGGCTTGTTTACAAGTTCTACTTTCTTTCAACAACTTAAAAAGTAGGAACTTTGTTAAAAAGTGCACATTTGTTTCTGATTTTTCTTGGATTTTGTTGAGGCCCCCCCCCCCCCCCGTCTTAAAAGTGACTTTTTGCATTCAAGAAGAGGAAACGGTGATTTCAGATTTACGTTTAACCTCTGATTTATTCTCAGTGGTAGAGTATAACACCAATAAGATACACTTTGTATCATGGTTTAACATTAATAATTTGCTCTTTTTTTTCAGAGGGACAGTTTCATTTTCAAGCTTCACTGTTCCCGGACAGCAGCATTCAGTTTGCATACAAAAGTGTAAGTTGGTCCTGTCAATGGTCTATTCTTGTACAATTGCATCTTTACATCTGAAAACTTTCAAAGTGATAGATCATATAAACAACACTTGTAATAAAGTGGCATAGGAGCAAAGAGAAAAGATTATATTTGTTTATTCAGTTGGAAGAATGATATTCAGTCTCAGCTGATGAAAGTATTTATGATGTCCAAGTAAAATGGAAACTACTTCTCAGGTGTAATTTGTGCTTCAACGTTTTTTGGTGGGTTTTTTTCAGGTTCCAAGTTTAGTTTCAAGTATCTCAAAGTCGAAACATCCAGTGAAGGCCGGTTTATCTGATGCCTACTATAATGATACCTACCTGCCACAGTATGGTTAGTATAACTGATACCTAGTTTCAAATTTGTTTTTGTGTTTCCAATAGTTTTGTTGAGGTTGTGAGATAACGAAAAGAAAAAGACAAGGAAGGAGAGTGGAAGGCACAAAGAGTTGAATAGAATACAATAACCATTCTTTACTGTCCCTCTATTTTTCTGTCTATCTGTCTTTCTTGTTTCCTAGCAATAAATGACGTCAAATACCGACACTGACTGTGGCCTAACAGACCACAGGTGTGGGTGGTTGGCAGGTGCTCTGGTGTGGTTTGTTCCTTCTTTCCTATCAAACATCTATTGTCCTGATCTCCCCTTCTTCTTTTTTAGGTCTGTTACTCTCTTGTAACACCTCTAATCTTCTGGCGCTCATATGACATTACGCAGTTACGAGCGCCGTAAGACCTCTACCAAAACTAACTAAAGCCCACAGATGCTTTGTTTGTGAAAAATTCTTCTAAAAAAATACCGCTTCACGGTCATAAGTGAAGTCATATACAGATTTTTAACCCGCTGACCATGTAGGTGCAACTATCTGCAGCAGCAAATTGGGGCATTTGTGATCATTTCGAGTTGTTTTCTTACTCGTTTCATCATGATAGCTGTCTGTGGTAGCATGCACTTCTCTTCCTCCTTGGATGTTAAAGGTCATCATTGGTTCATAATGGAAGAACTGATATTAATGTTGTTGTTGTTGTTGTTGTTATTATTATTATCATTATGACCATATAGTGTTGAAAGGGGTTCATAATCCATATCAGCTAAATATCCCATCAGATTTTGATACATGGTCTGCCCCTACCAGGTTCTCCATTTTTTTGAGTGAATTTTCATTAACTAGGGAACACTACACCTTGCTACCACAGTTACACCACCCGAAATGTTTTTAAGAACTAAGACTGATGGAATGGAAGGTTTGGTACCCTCTAATGTGACCATTGCCTCTTGTTTGATGCCAGAACTGACGCTTGGTAAAATTGTAACAGAGCCTGTCTTTACACCTGGGGAGCACAGGTCTAGCTTATAAAGGTCGTTCTGATTATATGAATTCCACTATCTTTTGTCCTAGACTAGTTTGACTAGATCAGGTCTCTTCATGTCTCAGGCTTAGTGTGATCTTTTCAGGCTACAGATTTGTTCCCATTTTTCATTATCTAGACTTGATTCTTTTATTTCATGCCCCACACATGATCCTGTCATCTCGTGTCCTGTTTTATTTCAGACATCAAGAGGAGGACCATCTACGAATACCACAAGGTGGCCCTTAACCAGACATTGATCCGAACTGGCTCTGTCATAAAAATCATTCCAGTCAAAAGTAAGTCTTCTCGCAGGTGGTACGTTGGCACACAGGCGCTGTGTTCTTGTTGTCCTGTTTATGGACTTCCCTTTTCTGCCTGCCCCATGGTTTTTGAAGTGGGATAGAATTTATGGGTGATAGTAGGGCATCACTTTTAGATCCTACTTCTTAACTGTCCCTCTTTTGTTTTATGTGTGTCTTGTCTTGTTTTATTGCCCAGTGATAAATGACCATAATCGTGTCGCTTTTGAGTCCATGAATGTGGTGTTTTATTTTTCCGTTTTGTTATGTGTGGGTGGTTGGCGGGTGTTCTGGTGTGGTTTGTTTCTTCTTTCCTATGAAACGTCTATCATCCTTGTCTCCCCTACTTCTTTTTTATGTTTGTTACTCTCTTGTAACACCTCTAATCTTCTGGCGCTCATATGACCTTATACTGTTGCGAGCGCCGTTAAACCTCTACTAAAACTAAAATTTGTTTATGTTGTTTATCAGCTGTGAGTTTTTTTCCCCATGCTCTTCTTATTCTACCCCTTCCCCCTCCACTCCCAAACACACACATACACTATCACACGCACTCACACACACACACACACACATGCACACACCCACATACACTCGTACACACACACTCACACACACACACTCACACACACACACACACATGCACACACACACACACACACACACACACACACACACACACACACACACACACTCACACACACAGAATCACCTAGGTTGGGTTGGGTTTTTTTTTAAAGTAACTTTGGTGAGGTATATCCCCTCCACTGATGGTGTCCTTTCATCTTTTATTTGAAGTTCACTTTTATGTGGCAATGTCAAATCTTCTGTTTTTCCATCAGTATGACAGTTTCTTTTCCTGCAATAGTCTTAATTGTCATTTGAATCTGTGTATCATATTTCAGGGATCACTTTTGACCTCCTGGATTGCCTGATGACCCCTGTGTTTTCTTGGTTAGCTCTCAACACCAACTTGGTTTATCACCAAATCACCATCTTGGTTATCATGACGACCAAATCACCCTTTTGATTAACCACAAAATCATCATCTTGGTTTTACCACAAAAATCACCATCTTGGCTTACCATTACCACCAAATCACCATTTTAGTGTACCATAAAATCACCATCTTGGCTACCACCAAAGCCCCATCTTGGTATATCACTAAATCACCATCTTGGTTTACCACCCGACAATGTTGTCTTCCTGCAGCATGCAACACGCTAGCTTCCTGTGACACCTGCAGTAGTCACACTGACGTTGTCTTTGACTGCAAGTGGTGTAACAAAATTGGCCGCTGCTCTGATGGCATGGACTGGTACCGCCAGCACTGGAACCTACAAGGCTGCAAAGAAACAGTATGTATGGTTCTTTGTTCCATAGTGCTTTCTTTTTGGCGGAGTCAGTTCATGGACAACCCAGTCTTTAAGCATGATGTCTGAACAGTAGAAAAAGTGTTGGTCGTAGTGAGGTATAGTTGGTATGTTCTCAAACTTAAATAGAAATGCCCTAAGAAGTTTCTTCATCAATGCAAATTAGACCGGGTTATGTAAAATTGGGTGTGTCTGGTAATACATTGATTTGAGGCACCTATGTTGATTCTAAATCTCACCTTTACATCAGCGTTAAAATGTCATGACAAAGTTTTAATAAAATATAGACATGAGACTGTTAAGCTCTTCTTCTAATTGCTCAGATGCATCATATAGTGAAGCATTATTCCATTGTTAATTGTAGGTATTGTTGGGGAAAACAAAAGAAAAGAAACATTTCTTTATATACGGTTCTAGTCTTAATTATGTTTTGTAGTTGTTTTTTATGCCTGTAAATGTGTTTTTTGTATGCTTCATTATGTATGACAGTTGATAGGCAATGTTTGTGATAATGTTTCCTTTTGATGGAAAGTTTGTATGTTTCTGTTGTTGTTTTTTTTTGTTGCAGGTGTTTTTATAATGGAATGTTGGTCTTTCCTAGATTGCATATGAATGTGATTGAGCCGTTAAAAATGGTCGAGGTGTACTGTGTTGAGTTGCATGAAACAATGGGCATGTTTGTCAGTTCTGGGTGTAATCTGTGTGGATAAACTCAATGAGGTTTTGTGTTGGGGTTAGGCTTTAGTTTAGCCAGAGGACTGTTTCCTCACTCTTACCTTTCTAGTGTAATACTTATGTGATTAGACATAATTATACCTGCTAGTTACATCTTTAACAGAGCTATAGAACAGGAAGGGTTTTTTTCTCAAAAGAGCTCCAGTACAGAGAAGTGCTTACTACAATGTATATTTTTATACATGCTGGGAGCGTACTGAAAATATCTTTGCTGTCACATACTACATTTTTATAGATGTTGAGAGTATACTGCAGAAACTTCCACTGCTGCATATCGTCGGCCTTGTGATAAAACCGTCTAACCCACAAAATATTTTTAAAACTTTTTATTGGCCCTATCGATAGTAAATCGTCCATTTCATATGCTCACTCAAAGACAGGTCTGAATTTTGTCTAGAAATGTCTTTAAAATATTAGAAATAAAACCGTATAACCCGGCACTCATCGGATTTTAGCCCGATAATACCGACTATCCCACCTGCGAGGGAGGGAATGAGGGTTGGCTGTTTTTGTAGCGCTAACAATGAGGGGCCACGTGCTACATTACCAACTAACCCAGGCTTCAACTCGTCTACGGACTTCGTTTGACATCAGATTCAAACCTTTGATAGTCCAGAATTCGCTCACGTAACTGTGTGAGCTCTCCTAAAAGGAATATTTGCATAATATTTCTTGTTGGTTTCTTTGGGGAGTTATATAGATCTAGTTGCTTCCTCTTTTTACTTAGTTTTTAATGCTGCTCATAATGTTATTAATGACTAAAACTCCCCACTGTTCCCACTGAACAATTCATCCCTTGACAATGCCAGTATTTAAAAAGCATCTTTTTGGATTTTGTTTTATATGACAGTATTTTTTCTGTCACGTGTTCTTCCTTGTCTTTGTGCTGGAAAGTCACCAAATTGTGAAGGCATTTTCCCCTATTCGGACTACTGTCTCTTCTCCTAATCATTTTTTTTCTTCGCAATTGAATGGACGAAGTCGAAAGTATTTAATTCTTTACTAACTCACTCAGAAAACAAAATGTTGGACCTGTCCAGCTCACCACCTGCCCCCAAAGATCATTGTTGTTTTAAGTGCTTCTTCTTTTTTTCACTTGCAGTGTTTATTGCAATCATTACCTTCTGAAACGTCTTTCGACTTTCTTTGATAGTTCATTTCATTTGTCTTTTGTATAGATTATTTTCTCAGTGTCATATAATGCTCTATCCTTATATTATCAGACCTTAATTTACATAACGCTATAACATTCCATCAGAGGATGCCATGCTTGATGGGTCACCTCTGACCCTCAGCGCAATGGAATAATGTGACCATGTTATAATGCACTCAAGGCCCGCTGTGGCTTCATGATAAAACCGGCCAACCCACAAAATTGAGGGTTGGTCGGTTTTATCCGGAAAAAATTTGAGCGACATAACCGTCCAACCCACGCAGTTTCATAAAAAGCGATTATTTAAGGAAAAAAAGGTCTACAGTTTTTTGGTAAAGTGTTTTTATAGGTGTTTAAAGCATTGATTTATCGTTAGATGCCTTTGTTTTGAAATAAAACAGTTTTTTCCTTCTCCTGTAAAATTTACCCTGCTGGGGTTAGTCAGTTTTATCACAAGGCAGACGATATGTTATGTATGATCAGAATGTATAATTGAAAAACTGTCAACAGCCTTATTGACATTTTTTTATGCCTATACATTGTTATACAGAAACTACAGGGATCTTGTCATGTGAATATTTTGAACACTGTAAAGAAGAAAGCTCCTCATGAATATTAAAATGAATATGTGGAAGTGCTCTAACAGTTTAAGTATGAAGACAATACAGAGAGACACATTCAACAATGTTGATTTCTCTCCTGGCAGAAATTTTATCGCCCTTTCCTGTTGATACTGTTTCTATAGTAGTTTGGTCTGCGGTGTTCCTGACATTATGGTTTGAACATGTGGTGTCACAAAGTCAGAGTATATAGGTTCACATGTGATCAAGAACATTATGTGTTCCGTTCCTATGCAGCAGGACTCTATCCCAGCCTAAACCTGGATACACAGATATGATGGATGTGTATGAAGTGTTCTGAATGTAGGGAACACACTTTGCCTATGTCATGATGATAAACTCTTCCAATTTATTTATAAGAGCAAACAGGTATAAGTTCCTCCACAGCACTGGATATACTTACTTATCAAGCGTGGAACTCACCTGGTTCTCCAGTTGTGCTCACTGTGTGCATTTTGTTGGTTAGGAGGTGCTCGTGTCTTCAAGAGATGTCAAAGAAACAGATGAAGCCGTACCGAATTTATGTGTGATGCTCAGCCTTATGTGTGTGTGTGTGTTTGTGTGTGTGTGTGTTTGTGTGTGTGTGTGTGTGTGTGTGTGTGTGTGTGTGCGCGCGCATGTGCAAGTATATGTTTCTTGGGTGGCAGAGTCGAGAGAGTGTGCTGTTTGTTCTCTAGTGTTGTATTTAAGATTAATTGTTTTTCATGTGTATTTGTTTGTTTGCTATTGTGGTGACTTGAAAAGAACATAGCAGGAAGGCTTTTGCAGAGATCCAGCCAGTGAAGGAAACTAAGGTCCTTGTTATCTTTTCATGTCTGTCATCTTGCTTTTTCCTCCGAACTTGAATCATTGTCTTAATGGAATGATAAAGTTCTTCACTTGTACACGCAAAAGACATGGATTATATTTCCAGGTGAAGAAATTATTTTATTAAGTTTTGTCGGCTGGGATGCTGTTGCTGCTATCCACTCTACGTGGGTTAATCTCAACAGGCAGTGTCAAGGCAGCCTGTCTGTTAAATATTCCTATGTATGTCGAAAGGGGCATGAAGCATTTACAATCATGTTGAGCTCAGAATTATCTCTATTGTTTCATATACCCTTTTATCCAAAGTAAGTCTTTTCCCCCTTTTCAAATTCTAATTCTGAACAGGCAGTTAAGATTAGCAAGTTGGTTACATTATGGTTGTCAAAGCTTTATTCCTAGGAAAGCTATGCCCACTCTGTGAAAATTTTTACAAGGATTATTAAGTCATTTTGGTTCAGCACTTTATTTACAGCAAAACAGGGATTGGTTGTGATGGTGTCTATCACTGATGTCATTAAGGGAACTGGCTTTTTAGTTTTGAAAACTGTTGATTTTGTCAAATGTTTTCCCAAGAGCACCTCAGATGTGGAGGAATGTCCGGAGGTTACAGCAAAAGGCTTTACACCCACCACTGTTGTGCAGCTCCCAAGTGAATTGACCACTAAGCTCCCCATAACAGCTGCGCTTCCCACCAAGCTTACAACTGCACAGAAACCTGAACTTACAAGTTGGTTTGCGAGGCCTACATTTAGGCCACGGCCGATGAAGACCACATCTAGGCCACCGACGATGAAGCCTACATTTAGGACCACTATTAAGCCTACCACCAGACGTTCAGCTACAACTAAGCCTCTGACCAAATTCCCACCAAAACAGATGACCACAACCAAGACGGATCCAGGCAGATTAGACTCAGATTCAGTCTATATGTGTGCTGTAAGTGTACAGTCACCGCTTTGCCCTGGGCAGCCCCGGATCCCCTGTGTTTGTCAGGAAGTTGGTTGATATCAGACAGATTTGTGTCCTCAACATACTCTTCAAATTACTGATCAGTCCTCTTTGGCAGACTGTTGTGTTCACAATTTTAAAAATTTTTGGACGCAGAGAACCATGAGCTGGCGTGGTTTAAAAACCTTGATGTCCCACCTCTGTGATATTATACGTTAATGTTCCACACTTGCTTTTTAACCAGTTTACTACTTTTCTAACTTCAAACCCCAATAATGTTTCATAGATGTGAAATAACTTGTGTGTTAGAAAAATGGAGCTGAGCTACTCAAAGTAATGCTTTAGCTTTTCGGGATGGAAAAAACTATAGACTCTGTGGTGTTCCTTTGTAACACTAGCGTCATTTACTCAACACGCTCTCATTCACTTTTCTGTGCACATTGACCATAACTTCTGCTGCATCTTTTAACCCTGTAATATGCCTCTGAATAGATTGCTCTTGATTGCTGTGACACCCAACAAACTGACTTAAGCGCTCATGAAATTAAAGATTTAATTGTTACCCGGTGTCAATGACAATTGTCTTATATAATGGGAAATAAAACTACTTTGTAACAAATGCTGAGGCCTCTTTGAATTTAAAAAAATGTAACATTTATGAAGTTTGCCATATTACTGCGGAAAGATGAAAAAGTCGGAAGTGGCAAAAATTGTGAGAAATCCCCTTTTTTAATAGCCCAAGATTTCCACATAGATTCCTCTTTCTAATTAAGCCTACTCCAGGAATGAGGTGAGATTGTCAGTATTGTAGATGAGAACCTCAGTTGTAAGATGCCCTCAAGAAGATGGTAGCAAGGAGCAAAATGGGGTGGTGAAAGCTATCTTCAAACAGTTTGTATTCATGGAAACAATTGTGGATAAAGATAATTTCTCCTGACTGCTGAATAACAGATGACATGTTTGGGGCTCAAAAATGGTTATGGCAACTTACCAGGAAAGGAATTTAGTAAATGGCAAACTGCTTCAGAAAAAGTGTTTTAGGTTTTTAGGGCTGTGAGGTTGAATTGGAAGCTTAAGTTTACAGTTTTACCTTCCCCAAAATGTGGATCTTCAAAGAAAGAGGATGGCATCACCAATGTTCTAAGATTTAAGATTTATTTTGGATTAGTAACTTTTCAAAGTCCTTAAGAGCGCCCTCCCCCCTCCCCCCCGAAAAGTCTCTTTGCGTGTATCTCAAGGAGTGTACATCTTTATTTTACTAGTTTTTGTTCACCACTACTCTTGATTTTCGTAAAACTCTGGAAATTGTGTCTTGATATACAGTTTCGCTTTTCATGAAGACTTGTGTGATGCTTTGCACCACTATATTTGAACTGCTCTGTAATTCCTTATTCTCTCGCACTGTTTTTCAAGAAATAATGCTTGACATTGGTATTTACACATGTTGCATTATTTATGTACTTATATTTGTATTGGATTACCTGGATTGCTGTATAGTCTGGGTGAACTTACCTGTGCGAATGTCATGATATTTCAGCTCTACAGCCTGGACTTTGCCCTTCTCTTGGAGCCTGCAAGCGTTCTCTCACACCCTGAGAGTGCACAGTCGACAGACTTCCATATTAAGAATTTGCCACCTAGATGCTTTCAAGCTGCTTTTGTGTATTTCATTCTTAGAAACCATATGTATCCGTTTATCTTGTTTATAGCATACAGCTGATTCTGAAGTTTGTTCAAGCCTTCCCACTCCCACCAAGCCTATTGTGGACCCACACGACACTAGCATGTATGACATGGTCAAGTGTTCAGTAAGTACAGACAAGTAGAGCAACACTTTGTCTCCTCCTTGCATCACTCGCTCACGCGCCAACCCCACTCCATAAACTGCTGTTCGTGGCTTGGTTTATTCACTCACTTCTTTTTTTTTTTGTAGTACTACCTTACTGGCCAGCATAATTAGTGGATCACTCTCTTGTCTTGTATTGACAGCTTTTTTTAAAAATTAGCCAAAGTCCAGAGTACTTTTAAGAAAAACATGAGGGGGGGGGGGGGGGGGGTAAATAACTATTCTATTATATTGTTTTATATTTTCAAAGTTTGTAAATGAAGCATTAGACCTCTGAAAGATACTCTATACCTCTAAAATTTGATTCCATCATTGTTTGCATGTCTCGTGATTTAAGGCCATTTGAGTTAGTTTTGGTTTACTGCAATAATCTGTTAAGGAAGTGCATGCTTATTATTGATTTTCTAAAACTAATGAGGTTCCCTGAAAAAAGTTATTTTCTTAATTGATAAGTTCTTAGTGATTTTTTAAAAGAACTTAGTCACCTCTAATAGAGTAGACTTAGTGAAAATAAGGAAAGATTGCACTGGTAGAAATATTTTAAAATAAACAAAAGCACTGAACTTAGTATTTGCAGGTATCATAATCACTGAATGTGCACAGGGGCATTTGAAGGCCGTATACATTGTTATAGCCATAAATTGTTGTTACCTTTATCAACTTTTATATATTCCTTTCCTTTTGTTATCACGAAAATACTTTTTGTGTGCATTCTTTGCAATGAGTTTATCTTGAGTGATACTACATTTTCTCTCTCGCCTTTTACCTATTTATTTCATGTGATCTTATTCCTTTTCTGGCAAACTTTTTTATTTGTTGCCTTTTTTATTCTTCCTGTGTGTCTCTGTTTTCTGGCAGTTGTTACTTCAATATTAATTTTTTCTTTATATGCTTTGTAATTTGTACTCAAATAATCCCAACTGTTACCACCTGGACCATGTTGTTCTTTTTCTTTTGTGCTTTGATTTGTACTATGGAAGTTGAACTGTAGTGGAAGAGTGTGGCAATATACACTAGCTTATCTGTAAAGCTTCTCTATTTGTGCTATTTAAAAAAAGAACCCCCCAAAATACATTGTAGTTATGGTATGAAAATGTGAAAGGTGGAGCCTCATTTACTGGAAAAGGGACAAAACCCAAAGAAAATACTAACAACATTGCCAGCATAATGGCACATGCAAACACTCATTCGCTTGTACTCTCTCTCTCTCTCTCTCTCTTTTTCTCTCTCTCCCTCTCTCTCTCTCTCTCTCTCTCTCTCTCTCTCATACACACACACACTCATTCGCTTGTACTCTCTCTCTCTATCTCTCTCTCTCTTTCTCTCTCTCTCTCTCTCTCTCTCTCTCTCTCTCTCTCTCTCTCTCTCTCTTTCTTTATTTCTCTCTCTCTTTCTCTCTCTCTCTCTGGCTCACTCACACACACGCACGCACACACACACACACTCACACACATGGAGCTCTTACTGTTCAAATCGATTTTTTTTTTCTTTTGTATTCTCAGCAGTTCACTATTAATATGAGCTTTTTTTGTACATTGTTCTTTGCTTTTATTTTGTCGTCCATAAGATTGTTTCTGAGTTAACTCTCCTTGTCATGGATATCATGCAAGAAAGCTGAAAATCATATTTTTCACGAACGGGAGAATTTTGAGGAGTAATGCATGATCAGAAATACTGTGACTCAAATTCAGTCAAAATGTCAAAAGATGTAAGCATCTGTGTTTCTTTAAAGAAACATTAAATCCACTGCAAAATGCATCATCAAATACTGAATCCTTAAGAAATTATTTTATTTGTAAAAATTGTTTGGTATGCAGCAACACATTTTGCTGATATAAAGTCCATAAAGTATATGGTTTTCTCAAAGCAGCACTTTTCTTTGCTCCTTTCTTATTAACATTGTGTTAAAATTGTGAAGAACATTCAATTTTATGGTGAATTCAAAGAAACAAATTATGAGATATGATGTTTTCAAAAGGCAAGTAATACCATTCCAAAAGTCAACAGCTTCATTGGTCTGCACTTTATGCTCCAATTCATTTCTCCTCAAAGTGATGCAAAGGGGCATGGGTGTGTAAACAAATTTGAGTGACTACATGAACTCTCTCATCACCGAGTGCTGGGTTGTGGATGTACTCTAGCATGTTATTACCTACCCTACCTGGTGAATTGTGTTTGATCTTTAAAATATTTCTTACACACACACTTTCTTGAAGAAAAAGGAAACATGTTGCCGACAGAATGTCTCTCTTAAGTTGAATGCCCATGCCTTTGAAATTTTGTGATTTTTCATGGCACTGATTTTACTTTTGTCATCTCATTTTGATCCAATGGCATTTCAAAAGTGGAAACATCATCACATGGCACTCTCTCAGGTTTTATTCTCAATTGTGAAAAGCCTTACCATCAGTGTTGTTCAGTTTTGTCATACAACTGGTTAATTCCCTTGGAGAGCTCAGTGTACTGTTGACAGCCTCCTGTTAACATGGAGGCTTACCCTCGGCAGTCTCACCTCCTCGAAGGGCCCTGAATGAACTTGTGTGTCACATAATATGTTGCAAACAGTTTGTATGATTGAATGTTTATTTCTTTTTCATCTAGTTTTTCAACTAAGGATTAATCTTCAAGCTCTGTGATTTAATTTTAACCTTTACGAAAACTTCAGTTTTATGTTCAGTGTTCTTTTCTTGAATTAGATAACAACACAGTAGTCTAGATGAATTGTGTGTACGTCTTTTATATATCTATTTATATGATGTGATTAAGTAATTAATTAATTAATAAGTCTTTCTTAACCCTTTGAGCCCTGATGTTATCAAGCCCCTCTGCCTGAGCTCCTGATTGAAATATTACTTAAATCCATAAGATCATCAGAACCATTTTCCATATCTGACTCAGGGTAGTCCTCGTCATTACCAGCATCTCAGAAAGATCTTCAAAATAGTCAATAACTTTTTGTGTAGTGAACAGTTTTCCATGTGCATTTTAACTCCGGCTGGCTAGTCTTGCTCACCGGTTACTGGTGGCTAGGCATGCGGGCAGTTTCACACGCCACCGGTCTCTTCTGGTGACAGGGGTTAAGATATTTTTTTACTTTATAATATCATTTGTGTTATGACGTGGTGAAATCAGGCGTTTGTCAATTTTTGGGTATGTGGAGCTATTGATAGCATCTTAATTAATGCGAATTCATTTTTCTTGTTTTTAATATTTAAAAAATATCCATCTATCATGAATAGAAGTCAAGATATTTGCAATTGAAGAAGGTGGGGGTCGTATGGTTTCAGAAGTAAAATTAGCGAGAAAATATCCACCAAAGTTTGATGAATTACATAGCTTGCGAGGTTTTGGAAACTGAAAATTTACAATTTTGGTGCCTTTATTCAATGTTTTATCCTATAAAATTCGCACAGAAATGTGCTTTTAAATGGATATGAAGGGTGTTGAGCCAAAAAACACAAATTCAATGAAAATTGCCAAACTGGCCTTCAATTTTACTATTTTGAAGAACGCCTGATTTCACCATGCTGCTTCACATTTGGAGGGTAGGGTTAGCCCCAGGCTAGTTTTTATGAGGTGTGGGAATAGCACAATGATGAAAGAGATCCATGAACAGAAGCGTTATTTCCCATCTGATAGAAAGTGATCATGATTCCCGTTGCTGTCCAGTCCTTTCAGATCCTTTCTTATTTACCGTGTACGTCTCTTGGGGGACATACTGATTTTCAATCTGTTGATCAAATGTTGATTGCATACACTGGTAGTTAAGTACCTGTTTGCTGCTTTATGAACTGAGCAAAATGGAGTAAACTGCCTTTTGAATGCACTACCTTTCCTATCATATACTGTTTCAATTTGTCGTCTTACTCTTTCCCGAGCTCTAAATCGTTACTTAATTGTTGTGTCTATTTAAATTCATTCCTATGAACGAACAAGTTGACATAAAACTAGTGCTATTTCTTTTTGTTGTTTTGCTTTTTCTCAAGCTATAAATCGCTAACTTAATGCCTAGCTTGCATGTAAATTGAAATACTTCAAAGTTATGTAACACCCATTCGGGGACTTCAGTTTTGCCAGTGTGCTGTTGACTCAACTGTTCAAAAAGAAGCAACTGTTGACCCTCGTGGGAATTTTCCAGTAGCCAGTTCCGTGATAGTGCTGCATTTGTTTTAGTAAACGTTTTACGGCACTTGCGACACAATTAGGTCATATCAACATCGAAGATTAGCTGTGTTACGAGAGAGTAACAAACACAAAAAAGAAGGAGGAGAGGTGTGGAAATAGATGTTTGACAGGAAAGAAGGAGCAGACCGCACCAGTGATAGCACTGCTTAGTAGTGTCAATTTGTTTTGTTTGTAGAACGGTTCCTCGTGCTCCACTTCTACCTCCAGCCCCACCACACCCGCACAGCAACAACACGAGCAGCAGGCTGTGGTGGACAAGTGTGGCGTAAGTATTTCAGTCAGAGCGCTGAATCTCCGACCGTGACCACGTGGGGTGAGATGGGCATGCCGAATGCCTTGGATAACTCCACAGCTTATGTGCCACTTCTTCCCTGTCCCTCCTCCTTCTGCTGCTCCCTGACTGCTCCTTGCATTGCAGTGTGTGATTCTAATTGCATTGCTGAGTTTGAATGCTCCAATTTCAGGTTTACGGGAATCGCAGGGATGTTATGTTTGCATACTTTATCTTTCTTGTTTGCTGTTGTTTGCTTTTGCTGCCACACCTTATCTGTGTGTATTTATGTTTGTATTCATCTGTTTGTTCATATTGAATGACTTCAGATTCCATTTGCCGTTATCCCCTGCATTAAACCTGTAGTTAGAAGCCTCAGAATAATTATATTTTCTAGCCCTTCGATTTTTTTTCCCTCATGATCTGGGATTGGATAAATTTTATCATTGGTAGTCTTAGATATCTTCTTATGGATTAATCTTTAAAGTGTTCAGGTTTGGTTAACTTATCCAAAGTTGCTTTGCAAGAGTTTATGTATGTGTTGCACAGTATGTCAGAACACTATTGGGAAAGGTGTTAATGAACTAATTTGATTCGGATTTTGCTTACAAGTACTTTGAATTATATTGTCCTTGATCACTGCAGATATTTCGCATGCATGCTTGCTTTTTTTGTGTTTACTTATAGGAAATAGTAATAATGTCTTTATCTTACTTTAACCCGTTATTTTGCCCTTATATCTAGTGTCACCACATTTATCCTGCTCGTTCTGCAGTGCCATTGACAACATAATGACTTGAGGGAGAGGATATTGCATGCTTTCTTTCAACTCTTAAATTATATTTTTTCACTTTAGGGATACCAAGGTTTATTGGACCAGCTCGTTCATAGGCGTGTTTTTGTTCACTTTTTCAATGAAAAAGCCCATTAAATTCATTCCTATATGGTGTGAACGGAGTTTCAGAGGTATCGGCACTGAACTCTTTGATTAGCTCATGTGCTAGTTATGTCAAAACTATTGTTCTGTCATATTTTTTAAATTCTGGATCGGAAAAGTAAGTCATATTTTTGTTTTGTCTTTGATGAGTATGGACACGTGTTTTTATTTTTAAAGTTCCTTTAATCCAATTTCTAGACCTGCAAAGTCGCCAATCTCTTATTTCTCTTTAACATTTGTTACTGATCTAGATATTTACTTTAAAGCAAAGAATACTTTTGTTGGTTAAAAGAAACAATTTGTTTCTCTTGTTGTCTTTTATGTGACAACTGGATTGAAGACCTAAAAAAACTCGGCTAAAGACTGGCTCCTTCAGAGCATGTGCTTGTCATTAACACTGAAGGAGTTTATAGTGTGTTTAGTGGAGAGGAGTTTTTCTTTTTCTGTTACAAATGACATTATATTAACACTGCATCATGATCTTTATGCGCTCATTTATTTATGCAAAGAAACACTTACCTTAAAAAGAGATTAGAAGATGAGAGAAGACATTTACTACAGCCGGATATGTGTTTTTGCACCCTGATGTCTGAAGGTGAAGCTGGATTTACAAAGTGGCAGAAAACATACAGGTTTTGTTTTGAAAAATTCTGCATGCCAGTGTACTGCATGGACTAAGTAAGTGTTTCTTTGAAGCATGAGTGCATTATTATGTCTTCTGTTTCTCAGAATGAAAATCAAATTTATATTCATCAAGGGAGAACAGGAATTTAAAGCAGTTTGTTAGTGTTTACATTTGTTTGAGAGAGAGGCAGACAGACAGGTGGACAGATGGACAGACAGACAGACAGACAGACAGACGGACAAAGGGAGGGAGAGAGATATTTTTATACAGTTGAAAATGTGAATAGTGGTCGGCAATGACTTTATGTTTCCAATAAACTGAGATGTAATAAGCCCAACCTAAATTGAGTCAGAGCAAGGCGATTGACACCCTTTTATTATGTTATTTTAGTATATAGCTGTTGAGATGAGTTGTGTTCTGGTGTGCCTACCCCTACGATTACCATTTATCCCTACCATTACCATTTATCCCGTTACCATTTATCCCTACCGTTACCATTTATCCCTACCATTACCATTTATCCCTACCATTACCATTTAGGGGAAGTAAACACCCTCGGATTATCCCCACAGGGCGGCAGATGCAAAGACGATGATAAGAAACAGACGACTGTGATTGTGGTTCTGGTTGTTGCCTTCATTCTGGTCCTGGTGGGTGCGGCCGGGGGCTGGGTCTACTACGCCTACACCCACCCGACCTCCCGGTCTGGCATGTGGCTCATGGAGGTAAGCAAAGTATCGGGGTTCGAGGTTCAGCTCAGCCCAGCGTTATGTCTTTGGGGACGGGCACTTTACTGGAATTTTCCTCACTTCCCCTAGATGGGAACAAGTACCTGGCTTTAGATAGTAACAGATCTGGTCAGCCTGTTAGAGCCTGAGTGCTTAAGGGGAGGAGCGACCTTTAGTTTGGCCGATTTTAGGTCAAGCGATGCAAATTGAGATGTGGCTGATTTTTGAAGATCAACCAGTTCTTTGTCTAAAATTAGCAAGGAGACAATTGAGAAAGTCTTTATTCTCCTGGTAAATTACCTTTGAAAACATGAGGGTGGGTTAAAATATAGTGAATTTTCACAATAAGTGACATTTTTCTCAAAATGTTATTTTTTTGCAGTTTTTCCCTACTCCTTCCTTAGTTTTCAACCTTTTGACTTGAAACTTTCAGGAAACATAGATGGCAAGGCTACCATAAATGTAACAGAGAGATATTTGTGAAAAAAATAACACGTTTCCATTGACAAGCGATTACGCAACATAAATTTAGAAAAGGATTTTTACACGTTGCGAAAATTCTCAATTTTGTTCTCTTTTTCACTTATTGAAAAAAACTCGCTGTTATGCTGATAAGGCATACTTTCACCATATTTGGTCAAAGCCTTATTGAAATTCATTGTTTGTTTTCAAGACGGCAGCCGTTTCCATAGCAACCGCTTAGCTATGCCAAAATAAAATTACATGTCAAGAGATTTTCTTAGGCCTAACTTATTTGTGTACTAAGATTTGATCTCGGGCAACAAACGTAGAAAATGGTCCTCAAGGGTCACTTCTCCCATTAACCGGCTGCTTGCACTATATCCTTCTTGGGAAGCCAGGAATATTTCAGAGTGGTCGTAGTTTAGTTTTAGTTAGAGTTTCACGGCACTTGCAACACAATAAGGTCATTTAAGTGCCAAAGAATGGATATGTTACAAGAGAGTAACATGCACAAAAAAGAAGGAGAGATAAGGACGATGATTGTTTGATAGGAAGAAAGGAGCAGACCACACGAGAGCTCCCACCAACCACCCGCGCAGAGTGGTCTAGGGTTTGTTGAGATAATAATAGCTGTAGAATGCAAAAAGCCTGCGACAAAGCATGGTATGGATATGCGTTACATAAAAGCAGTGATGGTGATAAGGGTGAGAGTTGGGTTTGGTTTAGTTTGAATGTTCTATTTGATTTAAGATAGGTCATGAGATGAAAGTGAAGAGCTTGGCTTTCCTGGATTTTCCATATCATTTTGAGTCAAGGGTGTGAAATACCAATCTAAAGAGGAAAAGAAAAAACAGACTTCAACAAGGGGGAACCATGATTAGTAAAGTATTATATAAAGTAATGAATTATTTACACTTCTAAGGGGATGAAAAGGGGTTCATCAAGTTTTGCAGATCGTCATATTTTGTGGGTGCCTTAATTGGAAGTGGGAGGAGTTCTTGTCTTGTTCAAGAAAATTGTTTGTGAATGTGCTTATTTGGGTTGGGCTAGTGTTTTATGAGAGACGGGGAAGTGCGTGTGAATTGCACTGTTGTATCGGGTGGGTGTGGTTGAGGTTGGGAGGCAGATTTATAAACAAAGATTGTCTTTGCCTAAGTTTATTTCAAAGAAATTGTATTGGTAATATTGATGTTGGTAGTTGATGGGTGCTCTGGTGTAGTCTGCTGCTAGTTTTGAATGCTACTGTTTTCCTATTTGGCTCAGCCAAAATAGGGCTGTTTTGGTGCCAAGTTGCCATAAACTGTCTCTGGGACTCAATAAGGGGACAGGATTAGTGCACAGATGTTATAGTTTCTTTTTTCAATGGGACTATTGATACTATTCCTTTACTATTTCAGTCTGTTGTTTTAACACACACACACACACACATGCCCATGTACACACACACACCCCACCCCCACACACATCGTATTTGCCGATGTGCTGTACTGTTTTAACGCTTCAGATTTTGGAGCTTCTTACATTGTTTGGAGTATTTATTTTTTTTACCGCAACAGGGATAATGTTGTTTGCAAAGACACTCGTGGGTTACCACTGGTTGGCTGGTCCCTTTTGTGGTCTGGGATTTGTTACAATAGGCATCTTTTAATTCTTATGAGTAAAGCTTACATTTGATGTTTTTGAAGCTCAAAACATTTTTTTGCTTTTATTGGTCTAGGGATGTTTGGGCTACCCTCTTTGTTCTTTGTCATTTAGTAATATGCAAGTTTTCTTTGGTTGTTTTACAATTCTGAAGAGCAAAGTGGAACTGCTAAAAGGACATAATTTGTTTTCATTCCTATCACCAACAGCACCGGCCCAGTCAGATTAAAGCTAAGATCAAGTTCTGGAAGAGCAGCTCAGCCAGCAGTGCCAAGTACCAGACAGAAACGGATGCCTGATCTGGGAAAGAGCTGACGGATATATTTATGTCATCATGGTCGATCCCAGATAGGTTTACATTTATTTTTATGTTTTTTTTAAAGAATTAAGGTTCACCTAACTGTGGTGTGAGACAAATGCTTGTACTTTGCCCCTGAGAACCTCCCACACAAGGGGAACTATGTGTTTTTTTAATATTTTTTTTTACTTCAAGACTTTGAAGAGGATGATGTATTTTTGAAAATAATCCAGATGTAGTGTGCAGTGGTATGATTGCAAGGATGGTGACTTGTCGCTTATTGGCATTCCTGAGAGTGCTCAAGTGAACCCAGTGGACCAGAATGTGAAGTCTGGGCTTTTGGACGGGTGTCAAAAGAAGAACTGTGAGTTGTTTAGTCTTGATTGACTTGAACTATCTGGGAACATTAGCTAAGGCTGTGATGAGACCTTATTTCAAGGAATCAACTTTTCTAGGGAATTAGTTATTTATGGCTATGCTGACCCTGAATTATTAAGTCTTGGTTATTTTGTTTTTGACAAATTTTCCCAGAGATTTTGCTCATGAAACTGTTGCCATTTGCAGAATGCACTGAGTGTGCAGCTTCAAAAATGAGCCAAAGTACTTTGAGAAAAAGTGAGTTTGAAAGTAATATATAGGTGGTGTCTCTCACAAATGCTCTGCTCTATTAGCTGGAAACAATATATTAGTTTATGCGAAAGCAATCTTGAAGGAAATTGGAGGTTCCTGAAGGATAGAAATGTTTCAGTTTGTAAAAATTATCATCAGAATGAAATTATTAATAGCTCTCACAATTCAAAAGCTGAGATCGTGCAGTTTATTGCTTTTGTGTCACTGTGGACAATATCTAGTATCGAAGAAAAAAAAAGAAAAAAAAAGTGTTTTTAGCATTTGGAATACTTTCTCATAATCTGGTCTATGTCAAAGCAGGATTTTGATCGAAAAATAATCCGAACTGGAGCACAAATTTGCCCTGCTAAGTAATGGGTAATGGACAAAAGAATCAGTTAATTACTTTGTTCCTCCCTCATGAAACTTGGCAACGGCAAACTGCTGATACAGCTTGCTAGCTGTATACATAACATTTTTGTATATCTCCCTTGGGTTGGAGAAGGAGGATGTTTAAACTACCCACCCTCTCACAAATGCGCAGCTAACTTCAATGAGCATTATTGTCAAAAACTGGACAACACAGGCCAAGAGTATTTGCATTTTGTTCCATGTGAGAGGATTTATTGTTTAAAACTTTTTAAAAATACTATCATCTCTTAATTTAGTTTGAGTAATATTTCAGTGTATCAACAATATAATTTTTTTTCTTGATGATGTTAATCTCTTTCTGAGTTGAGTCTTTTGTCCCTGTTAGTTTTATTTAGTAATGATCACAAACATCATCTTTGTTGTTGAGAGCTCTTCAAAGCTTATCTATTCTTCTTCAGACTCTGTAGAGAAGAGTTCTCTAAACAACACCCCCCCCCCCCCCCTCCTGTTTTAGTAAATATAGTGTTGAAAATAGAGCCAAAGTCTATGTCTGCCCTTTTATTTTTACTAGCAGCAGAAAGCGGACTTCTTGGCGCTGAGGATGATGTATGCTCCACAGACGTATTATGTTTCTGATAAGCTGATGTCACTTCACACCTTTTTATAGAATAGTTTGGATGGGTCAGATCAGTTATGACAAAGTTTGTTTTGGTCTGTAGACTAACAGAAGTTTCCCGATGATGTTCCATAGATAAGGGTCAGCAGCACAGAATGGAAGATTGTTATGGCATGTGGCAGCCTGAGACGCTCATCAAATAATCCATAATAATGTTACGTTTCTTATGATGTATGATATCATGTTGGACGACTGTTTGTCTGAATGACATTTTTTTTTTTCCACTTTATTTCATACAATTATTGTCTGAGGAAAGGTCATTCCAGTGCTGCCTCGCAACACCTTCTCCGATTTATAAGAAGGGAAAATTACAGATGAAAACAACAATGAAAAAGCCATCAGCTTTGGACTGGAAATTCTTTAGGAAGTTTAAGACTGTTTAACTTGTGAACAAGGAGAAGGATAATTCTGTCACTGCAGCTTTGCAGTCTCCAATATTTTTTAAAGTGGCCATTACAATCTCTGCGTGACACCTGTGTATGGAGAGAAACACCTGGAGAAGTATTCAGTTACTCATACAGGCGAGCACATTCATACGTTTGCTTGTACAAAGCCTCGTACACTTGCTCATGTATGCTGGCATATTCTTAGTGGCTACCTTAATATGTTGTGATTCATTAATTTAATCAGCAAAATGTGAAAGATATTGTTCAGACTCTCCAATTCTCCTCGACCGAGTAACATTTTTAAGCCAGATGTTTTTGGGGGTTCACTTTATTTTCATACTCATGATATGTCCGAGAAAACCCATAGAAGTAAGGAAGCTTGCAGGCACTGTTCTTTGGCTGTGATAATGCGTAATGCATTAGATGTTGTGTTTCTCAGGTGTAATCTGGCCAAAATAGAAGTCTGTAAACTGCTATCCCTTCAGCCTGTGTAACCACTGTCTGCTGAAGTCTTAGGTCTAACTTAGACTTTGCAGAGGCATTAGTGAATATCTCTCAGAAGACACATCAGGAGGCTGCTTTATGCATCGCCTGCGCTCAATATTTGGATATCACTTGTGTTATTCATGTGGGCTGGACATGGCTTTCATGATGCATTATGCTGAACTCTGAAGGTCTAACTAGGTCTGTGGGGCACTGGACTGGTTTCATTCTCATGTAGAAAGGATGTATTACTGCATGGGTTCAGAAAGGTAATTGCCCTGTTCAGGTCTAGAATAAACAGTTTTCATCTCAACTAGCTTAAACAGTTGGGATAAAGACATGCTTTTCTGTACATTCTCTCTGATTATCAGCTTTCTGTCATTGTTTCATTTGTTACTCAGAGATCTGTTAAAAGAATGCAGAGTCTCCCTTTGAGAATCTGGAATATAATCTCATTTACTAACAACAAAAACATGCTGTTGCTTTTAGATGTCCCTTTTTGTGTGTATTTTCCATACATAAACTACAGTAATTCTTGTGAAATTTGTTCTGTTTAATTTGAAAGCTTGTGAAGGGGCTTATTCAAATCATTAAAGAGGTATTGTGGGTTTTGGAACTAAACATTGACGATGTAGACAAAGGTCCACCCATTTCAATGAGACCATAGAAAACTCACTCCATAACTTGCTGCGATAGGAAAAGTTTTTTTTAAAAACCATAAATCATTTCTAACCTGTATGGAATTGCTGTGAAAAAGATGATTCCCATATTTTTCTGTTGTCTTCTCATAGGCCAAATGAAACGCAGAAATTGGTTTTGATATAATAAGAAGGTGCAGGAAATAATTGTGAAGACTGAGGGGGCACCATTACCTGGTGGCTGGAACAAAAACTTGTTTGTAACTGAAATGTTGATCCTGATGTGGTCTTAAATCTAAATGTAATGCCATGTCTCTTTGTAAAAGGACTGGACCTCTGTCAGTGAAGTGGTGTGTGGTCTCTAGCAAGCAGTGAAAACAGGCACAGACACCATTCCTGATCTCATGCACTGACACAAGGTTTTTCTTATTCTCATCAAAAGGTCAAAACTGTTAACTTTGCCTGTTATCTTCACCTTCGTGGCTGAACAGAAAAAGATTATATAGTTTTCAACATTCTCTTAGTTATTGAACTATTTTTTTATCGACATGTTTTTATAGGTCTGATTAATTGACAGTACTTACCCTGAATTAATTTTTCCCTGTGTGTTTCCTTGTTTCTTCTATCACATTTACATTAAGAATCTCACAGATCTGAATTTACATTGGAAGAATTCTCACATTATAAAATTTCTGCGATATTTTAAAAAAGTTTTGGGCCAGAAACAAAGACTTTTATCCCTTATGTGCTTTCTGTTTGTAAATAAATACTCTTTCCTTCTGCGAACTCATTTTTATCTTCGATCAGATATACATACATAGAAATAAACTCTCTGTTTCAAGGGGTCAGAATGAGGATTTGGTTTTAGAAATCAGAATGAAAAATGCTAACATGTTCAATAATTTTTCAGTTTTGTATTTTGATATTTACTGAAGCAGTTACGAAACGTTAATAGACAGGTATTCCTCTGCTTTGTAAAATGACTAATGGTACATTTTTATTTCCATGGTTATATTTTGTTGATAAAAAATGATTTTTTGTTGTTGTTTCTTCTTTACATATCAGTTTAGAGTTTTTAGTGGTGCCTGAATAGGTGGAAAATATGATTCACATATATGCTCTAAGCAGCATTGTACAGGGTTTCTTAAAAGATGTTTGATCGAAGTTTTATCTATTCAACTATTTTTCTTCATGCTATTCGAATGTTTTTAGACCATGGTCTACAGATGTACATTATGTTGTTTTCCAATGTGTCGTTATGATGCCGCAGTAACAAGCATAATGAATGGTCTGTCTCCTGCGGGATGCCATGAGACTGTGGACAAAACTATGAAATTGCTCCTTCTTTTCTGTGCTGTCCTTTGTGCTTCAGCTCAGCATCATGCCTCTGCAAGCAGAACTGATGTAGAACGTGTTCAGATATGGCACAACAACCGATGTGTAACCAGTTAAGATATTACTTTGCTTGACTTTGCGTCACGATGACTTTGCTAGAATTGCGCGTCACGTGTGGCAAGATTGACGCAAAGCGTGTCCAAACATGGCAGAACTAATCTTGTTGTGTAGCTTGCGGAGATGTGCAGCTGGCCTGATGTGCAGCTGGCCTGATGTGCAGGGTGTTTCTCACACAACGTGCAGAATGTCACTTGCTGTTCAGCAATGGACTTGAATACCCTTGTGTGTCCATTCTGTGTGTAATGTGTCAAATCTTGCCTTTCTCTGTCACAATGTCGTACTTCTTTGCTTTTAGCAGATTCTATTTTTTATATATAACATGGGCAGGTCAATTCTTTCACAAGACTGTTATGATAATTAAATGACTTTTTTTGTTTGTGTGATATTGACAATATCAAGCTTTAATACTTTTTCTATCTTTTTCTGTTGAGCCTTCTAGGCCATTTTTATCCTGTCATAAACATGTTTACTATATCGAGTTTGTTCTGTCTTCATGTTTTTAATGTTGAGTACTGGAGATCTGGAACTGATTTTCAAATTGGAAAATACACTGTAATAAGGGTAGAGATGAGAAGCTAGATCTGTCTTTTTTTGTATATACTGAAAGATAAACAGCTTGGTTTTTTGCTAAGGGATATGTATATAAAACTATTTGTTTTATATATATGCATATATATACATACTGATGATTCTGGTGATCTGAGGTGTCTTTGCCTTTGACAGACCTCTTAGTTTTGAATTTGAAATGCTAAGCTCAGATTTGTTTTACCAAGTTGAAAAAACTTGCACAACTTCAAATTAGTTTCTGCTCAGCAGTTAGGATTTAATACCATCTATAGATTTTTAGAATTCTCAATTGTTTCAGAATTGTTTTTTTCAGTGATATTGTTTTTGTTCAACATCAAACTTGAATGGCCTTATAAGGTCAATTTGGTAGAAATCATAAACCACACCAAAAAAATCACAGAAAGGCGTGCTACTTTAAAATTCTTACTGTAAATGCTTTGGTCACTCTGGTACAGTTTTTTCTTTTTAAATATTGTAAAGTACCAAGTGAACAGCTTTTCCTTTCATACACAAATGTTGTTATCATTGTTGTGAAAAGGAGTCATGGAAGTCATCTTTGAGGAGTCAAAGGATCTGAGCTTGGCATGTTTTGTAGCTTGGAGTGTCCCAGCTGTTAACTGTGACACGTCCTAATGTTTCATGCAATGGTCTGTGTGAAGTGTGTACTTTATGGAGTATCATATCTTTTGCTGAGTTATTTTTTTATCATATCACTCACATGTTTCCATAGAATATATTATTTACCATTCATGTTTCTGGTTAAAAGAATTTTGAAAGTTGAATAAGTAACGTGTCACATTTTGTGCACTGCGTGGTTTCGTTGCTCACATCAATGACGTAGAGACCAGCCTATCAGCTCTTGTACGCTGCTAATATCAGCTTTGTCCAGTGGCTTTTGCTTGTTTTTGTTCCCCTCGTCTTAAGTCAAAACTTAATTGTTAACTTCTCAAGGGAGGGAAGTAGTGCTTGGGCAATCTACTCTCTCTTTGTCTACTGCTCAGGTAAAGCTGTATCATGCGTACTGATTTAAAATCGTCTGTCAAAAAGAGAAAAGGCCATACAATTGTTTACAACAAAACACTTTCAATTTGCAAAATTCTCTCAGAGCATTATGATGGTTGGTGGATGCAGTTTGTATTTGAACTTTCTCTTCCCTTCAGCTTTTAAATTTTCTTCCTCTTGTTTGAGGATATTATTGTGTCATTTGGATTAGAAAAAAATTCAAGCTGTGGAGTAAAAGTTTCTGTCTTTTGAGCTGTATGCACATAAGAACATGGGAATTGTCCCATATAACACTTTTTTACCCCATCTTCTGGATCAGGCGCGGTTTTTTTTTTTTTAAAGACAACTGAAATGTGATCATAGCCCAGACGGAGAGCACACATTGTTCATCACATTAAAAGTTTTCTATCCCCTTTCCTTTACACCTCTCTTCCCTCTCTCTCCTTCCCCTTTCTTTCTCTCTCTTTCTCTCAAAATTAACATGCACTTTCTTTGAATCTCTTATAAAAGGGTGGTTAAAGGATCTGATAGGGCGTTATTTATTATGCAAACCACTGGACTTGCATAGAATGACTGCAAGAACTGCAGACTTATCTACTTTTGCAATAACTAATACATTCCAAATGCTTTACATATTTCTGTACATGAACCATGTATTTATCGATATGAGTATACCATAAAAAGTGGTTTCAAAGAAATGTACAGTATTTTCTGCTTCTGTTGCTCACACTGAATTCATCTGATTTTCAAGGAACGTTCTGGTGTGTACATGAAATTTTACCTTTTACTTGAAGGCTGAAGTTTGTATTTCAATTACGTTATTCTTTCTTTGTTTAAAAATTTACTTTTAGAAAGCTCTCAAAAAAGTTTAAGCCTTTCATACCTTGTTTATGTTTAATGAATAATGTTCTAACGTAATGTTCTTTGTACTAAATATTCCAACAATAGAAAAGGGTTAGAATTTTAAGAGACTCCATTGTTTACTTTTACGCTTTTGTGTTTATTTTTTAAAATTTTAATTATGGTTTGTTTTGAATATAGCAATGCGTTTTGAAATAAATTATCCTTGAAAAGCCATAGAAATCTTCATGTTTTTACCCTTTATCCATGTTTTGGGTTCTGGATGAATTTATTAACAGTGTAAGTAAACACAAGCTTTGTGTTGTCAGGGTAATTCCATCCTCATGTTTGTACCTGCAGCAGTGAAAGGACTTGGTTCTGTGAGCCATTCTGAGGTTCTTACCGAACAGTACTTTATTGAATTCTGATAGCGGATGGAAATTCCCATTGCATGTAGTAGGTCTTGCATGTGTGGTCGTGTTTCATCCTAGTCGAAATGCGATGCTTTAGATGACTCTTTGGCATCTCATACACTGACCACGTCACAAATGAGGAAGTGCGCAGTAGAGTGAAACAACACATGAGTCACTATTTAGACTTTCTGTCTTCTGTGAAATGAAGAAAACTGAAATGGTATGGCCATGTAACAAGACTGTGTGGCCTATTAAAGACCATTCTTCAGGGAACTGTGCAGGGAAGGAGAAGGATAAAGGTGGACTGACAACATTGCGGAGGGGACAGGGAAATCATTCACCCGAACTCGAACTCGGGCTCTTCCAAAAAACTGTGAAAAGTCTGTTGCTCCTATTTTATTTCTCTATCTTTGGTAATTCTCTAGCATTCACAGGCTGAGAAACAAGTTAAAAAATGTCATTTACAAGTTGGAAAATCGATGACGACCCCCACTTGTAAATGGCCCTTCTACCTCCTCCCTCGACAAAATGGCCGAAAGTCTTCTTGAAAGTAATGAAAGGGCTTTACAGAGCATCAGTGGAGTTATATGGGAATTGCAGGTTCTTACCACATCGTCCTCTTAAGGGTGCTGCATTGACTAACACTGACCGGCGTATGTGGTTTAGTGGCCACTAAGGCTCTTTGCCATTGCACACACGAGACGTAAGTTCAATTCCTGAGTGGGAATTTTTTTTTTTCAAATTCAGTGGAGTCCGCCTAAATGATAATTTGACATATAAAAATCGAAAAACAGACGTAAACCGAAAGAAAAAATCCCCGATTTCTATGAGAACTACTTTGTCATAATTGAAAACCTAGTTTAACCGAAGAAAATCCAGTGATACCGCAGATCTCAGTATAAGAAGAGTCGAATGCATCTGTCTTTGTGATGGAATGTTGCATTCCTCTTAGTATGGGTGGGCCCTGACAGGCATTGTCTCTCTGTTGTAAATGTTTGTCATACTTGTTTTCTCCCAACAATATAATATATGTGTCACGACATGGTGGAATAAGGCTCTCGTCAATTTTTGGGCGTGTAGAGTTACTGGTGTAATCTTAAAGCTTGTTCATTTGTCTTGCTTGGCTGAACAAAAATATCCATTTATCTTGAATAGAAGTCGAGATATTTGCAAATGAAGGAGGTGGGGGTCTCCTGGCTTCAGAGGTAAAATTAGTGAGAAAATGGCTGCCAAAGATGAGTTAATATTTCCTTAGCTTGAGAGTCCATAGAAACTGAAAATTTACATTTTTTGTGCTTTTAATTAGCGTTTTTCAATAAAATCAACACAGAAATGTACCTTTAATGGGCATGAAAGGTGTAGAGCCAAAAAACAGAAATTCAATAAAAATGTTCAAATCTGCGGAAAAATGCCAGTTTCTTCACTCTGATTATTTTTTAAATTTTTTTTTATGAGCGCCTGATTTCACCACGCTGCCTCACATATATACAGTGGAAACCATATATAATAGGCCCGGTAATAACAGGGATCCGGTAATAACGGATTTTAAAAATCCCCGATTTTTCCTACTCTTTGTCTCTATTCAAAGTTATCGGCAATAACAGGGCCTCATCGGAGCCCAACCGGTTATAGCAGGGACAAAGGCTCGTTAACAATGTGTAAAAAGTAAGAGAGAGAGAGAGAATAACGCAGTGATGGAGCAAGCCCATGCAAGACAGCCACTGCGAGCACACGCAGCGTGTGAAGTGAGAGAGGTGTGCTGCAGACATCGATCTGGCCCGAAACCTAGCAACACGCATGCGTAATGTGTCATCAACGATGTCAAGCGCAAGAGAAAATGCCTTTCATTTGACAAAAAATGTGAAATAATCCAGGCTGTTGACAAAAAGCAAGCTCCACTGGCAAAGATTTGTCGTCAGTTCGACATTCCACAAGGGTCGATTCACACCATTATCAAGGATAGAGAGAAGATCGGGATCGAAAGAAGATAAGACTACCCGATGCAGATGCTGTGGACCAAGCTCTTCTGATGTGGTTTAAGGAGGCAAGGAGAAAGTGAGTGCCAAAACCCCTGTTCGTGGGTACTTGTGGCAAGAGCAACTACCCATGAATAATTATAAGTACAGCTGGATTAGTCCACAAATGTTTACTTTCCTTGCCTTTCTGATTTAACAGGGATCGGATATAACAGGACTTTTTCTCTACTCCCACCATCCCTGTTATATCAGGTTTCCACTGTATGACCTTCAATGTGCTGCTGATCTTCTCTTCAGCTTCACTGCACCTTTTCTCTTATCCTATTGTCATCAATCATCAAAGGATATTTTGGTTACATGTGTTCACAGTTTACCATATTCTACTGCTTACTTTTTACTCATATAAAGCTATGTGGAAAATGAAATGAAATGAGAGCAAATCTTAACTTTTAAGTTATTAAAAATCTTTATAAGTGTTTTACGGCGCTGGCAACTGCATAAGGTCATATGAGCACGCGGGACACAATTAACATTTTCAGTTGGTAGGAAATTTTGAATTTTGCGCAGATGGCGGCGCCGAAGCCTACTCTTTTCGATTTCAGTTTTTGCCCTTGTCCAAGAATGTTAGGTGTAGATCTTTCCTTCCAGAAGATCAGGGGTGTGACTGAAAGAGAGCAGTAAGAAAGAGCCAAGGAGTAGCAGTAGAAAGGCTGTAGAAAGAGTCGGGAGCCCAGAAGAGGGGGGCAAAGGAAGTGAGGGAGTAGGGGACAGAAAGAGGAGACGAAAGCAGACGACAGAACATCACTAGAGAGAAGGAAATGAGGTGAAAGGAGACAATTTTAGAGAAGAAGATTTTTCTGTAGAACCCGGGACCTTTGAATGAGAGGCTGACACCTTATCCTCCAGGTCACAAGAGCCCCCAAATCTTCACCATTGTCTGTAAAACATACATATATAACAAATAATAAGATACAAAATGAAACTTTATTCAGATTTATTTGCATGAAAGTCTCTAACTATGTACCAAGTACAAACTCAACATTCACACAAGAAGCAACACATCACACCAACCCTTCCATACATCATCATCCAGGCAGGACTACAAGAGAGTTTGTCGTAGCAGTGTGATGTTAATCTTCAATTCCCAACAATCATTGGTATGAGTATGAAGCAAAAATCCAGTTTTGAGGAAAATATTACTTTTTGGCCGACTAAACTTTTCAGTATAGTGCATTGATTGTGGACGTAGCCATATATTTTGAATGATATTTTTATCTATGTTAGATTAGATAATACAATTTCAAATGCAAACATTATTTTAGAGAATATCAATTTTTTAGAACTTCTGGGGGTTTTTCAGTCTTTATGAATGTGCGAGCAATAATTTAAGACTAGGCTGTCCTTTGTTCCCAAAATGCACACAAAATGGGAATGGAAATTTGATCCAAGCATTACAAAAATTTCAGAGTTTGTGTTCTGAAATGGTCCTTTACTCAGCAATCCTTTACTCTTGGTCAAATTCAATACCAAAATTCTGTTACCGACTAGCTTCTACAGCCATCACAGCATTAATATTTATTACCTCAGATCACTTTCCAGATTGACAAAAACAAACATAATAATGAATATCTGGGTTCAAAGGTATACAACTGTATTTCAGCTATCAAAAAGGTTATCTTTATATTTCAAGATTTACACAATAAATTTGAAAATTTTGCAACATGCACTAAACATGGTACCGTTCTTGCACTCTCACATAGACAAACTTACACATACACCAATACAAAGTCAACGGAAATAGAATATACATGTAGCACCATAAATTGAATCAGATTGTTGGAATATACATGACATACACAAGAAAGAATTTGAATTTTAGTGAAGACAATCCTCCTCACCATCACCAAAATTGTTCTTTTAAAAAAATGATAATCCTTCAAAGTTTTGTTTTTAAAATAGATGTTTGTCACTAGCCTTATCATAAAAATTTTAACGAAGTCTTTATATAAAGACTTGAGTCCGAAAATATTTTTATCCTTAAAATTGCTATTCATCCAAGTTCATCACTCAGACCTGGTAAAAATGTATATTAGTCATTAAAAAAATATTAAATTTTAATCAAAATTACTTTGCATTATAATGTTTTAGTGTAGTTAATCAGTATGATTCGGTATCTTAAAAAAAATACTGAAAGAATCCATTTTAAATGGAAAGGAGAAATGTATATTTTTTTGTGTTAGAGGCTATAAAAGGGCCTCAGAGTCAGTTTCACAAGATATTTCAACATGCACTTCATTCCATGAGAAAAGCAGCATCAACAGACATCAATCAATCTACTTTCTGACTTTCTCTTCAGAGTTATTCACTCAAACTATTGATCAGATCTAGTACTAGATGCTGTGCATTTATCAGATTATAGAATGAACTGTCTCCATTTTCACATTCAAGTAAACACCCAACAAATCAATCAACAAACTTAAATGTTAAATTCACAACAACATACCCATATCGTCGCCACCATTCATCATTGTCGTATTCAAAATACGAGGTTTTCAGGAGAAGAAGAATGAGACAAGGACCAATCTATATGCCTTATCGAACTAGACAGCAAAGGTCTACTTTATTTCCATATTTTTTCAAAATTTTGACCTACTACACTGTTGAATGAGGGCTACAATATACACACAGACAGGCATCAAATGGCTCATTCATTCATGCCCTCAACATAGGGTTTCGGTCTCTTCCTCTGCTTTCAGCCACGATTCATAAAATGATTTACTTTTCTAATGAAGCTTCTGCAGTTGTGACAAAACAATGACTTTCACATCCAATCATTTCTAACACAGCAGGAAGAAAGAAGAAGTGGTAATGTCCTGTTTCCTCTACAGTAAACAGATGAAAACTCTCACAGCACACTCAATACACTGACAGGGTATGGCTTTGCTATTATTGCAACCATCATCCACAATGCTCATCTCCACAGCATCCTGGATATGCAACCACACAGTACATACTGTTCTGTTTCTTCAGTTGTATATAAATAAACACGACCATTCTTCACCTCACTCCACATCATAACCTTTCAAGCTAAAATGACTAATCAGCACTTTATAACAGACCTTTGATTAATGTGGCATTTGAATATATACACACCAGTTTAAATATCATATATCAAATACAAAGAGACAGTTTAACAGAGAACACAACACTAACAAGAGAAAGCATCAATAACACGCAAAACAGCAAAAGTATCTAATTAACGGATTTCTTTGCAAGTTAGCTTTTTCTTTCAACCAAAAAAATACTTTTGATATAATGCTGACAAATTTTCCTGATATTACAATTTTAATTATTGCAAAGTTGCACATATCAAATATCTCAAACAGCAACATCCACTTATATTGATGAAATTCAAATAGAAAACCTCTATAAACTCATTGTGATTCTCATTTGTCAGTCAATCACTCTACACAAAGTGTGCATGCAACACACAAACACATGTTTTCCTAGTAATTCCCTTTTTGCAAAAAGAAAACTATAAAACAGACTCTGATCAAATAAACCAACAATATAAATAAAATGCACAGAAGTCACTTTTGGTAGTACAAAATATTATTGCATATTACTGAACATAAGTATACAGCAGTCAAATTCACTGTGAATGAAAAACAGCAAAAGTTACTTGTGTAAAATTGAATCAGAAAGAAAGAAAACCTGTTTCTTTGAGTCATGGATTTACGTAATATATGAGAAATATAAACACCATCAGATGGCAAGAAGACCTGACATTTTCACATTGCACCTTATACTATAGTCACAGTGTACTCTTATCAGTTGTGGCACAAATTTTTGGCTGTTTAATATAATTTGTATTTGAACACTCTTTTAGCAATATACTTACAATTTTTTGCAATATGCTTCAACATAAAGTTTAGCCTAACACAAGGCTCAATGGAAGTATACTTGTATAATGCTGATATGTCCAAGTCTTGGTCACTTATATTTTTACCTGCCATCAGTGTTGGAGTGGTGTATGTTAAAAAATTAAAGTATATAGAAATCATTTGGCTTTTTCCGTAAGTCCTAAAAAAAAGTAATGCCTTTTTCACATACAGCCGCGAACACTATTGTTATTTCTTCCGTTTTCTAGGATTACAGAGAATTACTTATGGGTACACCAGACTACTATATTTGCCACATTCTAGATATCTCAAGGGTTTAAGTCCACTATGGCGCCTTTGATAACACATCAACCCATCACATTTGTGGCTTATGTTCCCCGCTGTAAAAACCAATGTCATGATGTCCCATAAAGACAAAAGCGTTAGCAAAAAAACTCTTTTTAACACTTTTCCTTCTAAAAGTAGGTTCAAACATGTCTTGAAGGTTTAAAGTACAAAAGAATTTCTTAACCCTCTGATGGGTAGAAAGGCTCTGCAGAACTGCAATTTAAGCGCTCAGTGTCCAATAAACGAAGGCAGGGGTATGTAGGTAACATTAGTTTCAAAATACTGGTATAACTAAACTTGACAGGCTGCAAAAACTACAGAACGATTATTATGTTAACTGTCATCAGATAACTGATTGATGGTTTTCCAAGATTTTTCTCTCTGTAGCAAAACACATTAGGCGCAACTGTTTTACAATCATTGCTTGTGAAAGATCGTATCTAAACCAGTATGATAATGCAGTCAACTCTTAAAGGACTTAGATAATGTCCCAATTTGCCTAAAGAAGGCAGTTGTTCTGAAACAAGGCAATTTGGACACATCATAAAATTATTCAAATATTTTATTATCAATATCAGATTTGCCGTTGACGACAAAGTATCCTTCCTCCTCAGGCTTCTTCCTCTTGAAAAATCCACACTGAAAAACAGAAAAAACAACAACATGAAAACAACTTTTGACTCAGAAAAGGAAATACAAAAATACAGTCTATAAGTGTAAGGAATTCCAATATGAGCTTTTCAATTTTTAAAATACTGTCTTTCCCGCAGAAAATTCTATAAAAAGGCTACCTGGTTTACCATAAATTTTTTTTTGTTCAACCGTACTTTACCAAGAGTACTTAAAATATACAGGCACTCACAAAGAAGTAGTCTCTCTATCATTGCAGTAAACAGCTATTTAGGCTTACATATATTAAAAGAAGTACACATTGACAACGTGCCAGCTGTACTTGTTGAAAGATTGTCCATTACATGGCCCACTGCTTAATTTGAGATTCAAAATGAAAAGTTTAAAAAAATGTAGTGGCAACATCTGCTTTCACTGTATGTTTGATACTAGTTTTTTTTTTTGAGAATTATCTTTCTTGCATAAAAACAGTAAGATGTACTTCGGAAATAAAACAATATATTATTGTTATTAGCGTCGGTGTGAGGAAATTAATTATCTTGCTTGTGGATTGTCAAGGATACTTTTTTAGACTACGAATCATCTGGTAAAGCACTTTCTTTACAGTAATACATTTTTTCAACAAATCATTGCAGTAACTCAACAACTGGTCTTAAATTTCTTGAATGAGACTTATGACAATTATGAACTGTGTTCACTGGCATATATGTCCTAAGCAATACAGGCTGACCATTGCTCAAAACAATTAAGCATTTCACAGTGGAGACTAGCAACAGAACAGATGCATTTTAATCTAATCTATGCTTTGTGATAGGTCTATTCTGTGACATTGTACGAATGTATGGATGAACAGTGTGCAGTTCACCGAAAGCCAAATTTATGCCTAAAATCCTGAGGTCTTTTTTCTTTATTCTTATTTTCCCATCACAACTATTTTCTGATGGGTATTTTCCATACTTACAGAATCAACAAAGAAGAATTATTTCTATTCTGTACACAGGAATATATTTTTAAAATTAAAGCAAAATTCAATTAAAATAAAATGAACTTCTTGACTTTGCGTAAGTTGTTTGATTTCAGCATTCAAATTATCTGATTCAGTACATCAGCTATAATTTTAAGCCTGTCACAAGACAAAATGAGAAAAATCTGGATGGTGTACTTACCCACCACAGCAGCAATATAAGTAACAACAGGAACAGGAGTCCAGCAATAACAGCTACAACTATAACCCACAACTCAACTCCTTTGCTTGCTGGGCGCAGCCTGTCTGTATTCACTTTCGTAACAAGCTGTGAAATATAAAGAAAAAAGGTTAAACATCCACTTCTCCACCTCAACAGAATATGTGTTATTTATGATTAGTCTTACAAAGGTTTGTCATCTGTGAATGGTCAACAGAGACTTTGAGGGATCATGAAAAACACATAAGTTTTCTGAAATCTATTCTTCCAGGTATTGGTATCCTTGAAATTTCTCCGAAAACACCCATCCCCTCCCATCTTCATGTTACTCTTGCTCCGTTTGTTCTGTCCTGCTCTTCAATGTCTGCTTAAAAAGTGTAACTGTGGAAATCCATGACATTACAGGTGATGCATTATTCACTTATGAAAATATACCTGTTTCAATCATTTAGACTCATGTTCTCCATGAACATTTTGACAACCATTTTGTGTTTGAAAAGTAAAGTAACTGAAAAGATTTTTTCATCAAAGTATCTTTTTATTTTTTTTTTACTCTACTTCAACATTTCTTACTTTCAGTAAGCATCTGATTTTCACTACATTTCCTTTTTAGACAGATAATTATAACCAAAATCAAAATCTCTTTCACAAGCCTCTTCTTCTAAAATTAGTAAGAACTTAAATGAAACTCAGGAAATGCAACTTTGTTTTTAATTACAAGAAGCTGCTATTACACCTTTCAACAGACACAAGTTATAATGAATCTTAAAAATCAGACAGGAAATGCACCGATTAAGAAACTTTCTTAAAAAATAAAATCACCTCAAATGACACAAAAAGTAGAGTATGATTTATCTACATGAGCAAATGAGGAAGGAATAAAATTCTTGATATCTTTAACCACAAAGAGCCATATTTTCAAGTACTCACCTCCAATCTCTTCGTTTCAAATTTGGAAACGTCAACAGTTTCAAAATCATAAGGCACTGATCTCACTCTGGCATGTGCTATTGATGTAATGTGATACATCTGGGTCTCTTGCCTCCTCTGAAAAAAAAAGAACGAAAATCATATCAAAAGTAAGTAATGAGAAAAATTTTAAAGCTTGGTAAACAAAAAAAATTGTAAAATGATTTCATCTTTACTTTAGACAGCATCAATAGCAGTTCATAAAAATAATTGGTAACTGTTTATAGTTTAACAGGAATTATTTCTCAAATCTATAGACTTATACAATTATGCAGTTTAAATCATACATAAAATTATGTGAACACAAACATTTGAAATTGTTATAAAATGAGAAATGTTAAGCAAAGCCTGAATTTGAATTCTACCCGCATTTAACACTTACCTTTATGAAGCTTCTTGCCCTCAGTTTGGAACTGACTGTTATTACAAAGCTTTGGTAAGGATCCATGTATCCAACAAGGCACTGGATAATTGTGCAATATCTCTCAGAGCACGCCTGAAATGCAAAAATTGTATCAAGGTTGAAAACATAGTTACTTTATTCAGCAGACTTCGTACACTACCATTTAGTAATGACAATTAAGTTCATAAAAGAAGAAATACATTCTTCAAAGCAGAAAAACTATCTTCAATGTTACAGCTATCTGAACAAAGTGAAGAATGTCACTGTACGTTCTCCACACAAAGGTCTGCATTTTGCTGTCTCTCATGCTTAGAAAATTCACATCCGGTCTTCAGCTTAATTGTAAAGCAAGCTTGAATACATTGAATAGTTAAAGATTCTAACTTCATAAAGACATTATAATACTTTCAAGAAAGCAATAGGCCTAATCATAACTTACAATTTTCTGAGAGTCAGCATTCCGTTTGTATTTCCGAGAGTCTCTGTCATTACTGAGAACGACATTTGTACTGCTGCCAGCCCAGCCTTGATAGTTCTGAAAAGGTTAAATACAGAATTTATAATTAAATCACATGGTGAGGCAGAAAAAAACATTATAAAAAAAAAAAATTAACAACTATCTTTCAGTCTGGCCATTAATAGCCCGTTGAAATGCTAAAAGGGTAAACAACATATCATTGCTGCAAAATTCTAAGCTGCTAACTCCGAAAAAGTAGTTTTTTTTATTTTCCCCCCTGAATTCTGGAATTCTTATTGACATCACACAGCACATCATATGACATCCTATAATTATACACAACTTTAACTTTTGCAAAACAAGAAAATCATTCATAATCAAGAAATTTTTGCAAGTCCTCACATGAAAAATAAAATCTGTCTACAAGAGGCCTTTCAGCAAAAATTCCACCAATATGGCCTACACTTTGAAACAGTGAATAATTGCTCTACTTGGGTATGTCATAAGGCAACAACTAATTTGTCAGTTTCATGTTCTATCTGCTTTTTTGTCAAATTACTTAAACAAAAAACTTACTGTAGCATTGCTTGGGGTAATGATAATGATTTCACATTTTCCATTGCCCTCTGTGGAAAGGATTCCATCAATAACGAGAACGGGATTCCCTTGGAAATCATAACTAGGCCATCTGATCTGCAGCTCCGTCACATTGATAGCACTCTGTCCTTGATTAAGCAGCTGTGAAAAAAATTGGTAGGCCCTATAACATCTAGCTTCTTTCTAATGAAATGGAAAGAAAAGGAACACTATTTTTATAATACTGAGTGCACACTGCCAAATGAATTCATTTGATACAGTTGGGGCCAGCTACATTTTCCCTCATGACTGGAGCAAAAGCTCCCATTTTCGCACAATTTGCTTGAATTCAATTTAATTCGACTGAGACCTCATTAAACAAATTCAATTGTTTTTCAAGGTGATGAGTCTTATCATTGTATTGAGCCAAAACGGTAACGTCTGCCTCTTGAGGAAAAATATCTGGCTGGTCTTGACTGAATTCAGTTGCATTTGATAGGCAGGGTGAACAGAGCAAAATATTCATAAGCAACTGGAAATACTGATGTGGAACAAAACAAACTCAAACCTTTAGAAAACAATGTAAAACAATAATATGACTACAAGAGAAACATCGCTACTAAATATCATCTTTGTAAAAGAGAAAGTTTTAAACAATCATACTGTCCAAGCCTACACACATTGACAGATTTATGCCCGCTCAAAACATAGAAAAATGGAAATAAAAAGGAAAGGACGAACATACATGATGAATATGAAAATTATTGGAAGCAGCGAGTAAGCAAGACAAACTCATTACAAGTAAAGTTTACAACAACTAAGCCAGACAGAAGAAAAAATTCTTATCCCAGTCAAACCTGACCCTTCTGCAGGTAAGAAAAGTTAATAAACAACTGTGTTGTGCTAAAAGGCGTCAAAGAAGGATTTTTTTAAAGTTTTAAAAAATACATAATCTATAAACGTACCTGAAAAACATGCTTTACAGAACGACCTTCATCTTCTGTTTTAGGATCAGTTGTATTCAGGACAATTAGCTCAGGACTTGCTTTGCTGAAAAGAACCATGAGATTATAAATATAAAGTTCAGATAGAAATCTTAACCAGGAGATTGTTTAAAGTTATATTTCCTCCTTATTGATGAGTTTATTGATTACACAAATAACAGCCTGCTTAGTTTACTGATTAGGCTACCACTCTTTTTCTGATTATTTCTTTACGATATAGAAGAGTCATTGCAGGTAGATAATTTTCTAACTATCAACTCCACTTTCCACTCTTTTTAGATTCTTTTGATCTGATTTTTTTTACTTTGTGTTTTCAACGTAACAGACTGCACACTGCAGTGATCAGCGGTGCTACATCTCTTTTGATTGAAAGCAGCATGAATAAAACCCATTGAAATTACATGTTCTGTTCTACAGTTGATTTCTCAAGTTGTTAGTTTAGGTAATCATGTAATCTATACTGACTTGCCCAGTTCTCCTATCATGCAATACAAATTAAGGTAACTAGAGAAAGAATAAATAATTTACCCAAAAAGAGCAATTTCTGCAGTGGCAGTCACAGGGATTTCTACACTGTCATAGTTGTTCTCATAGCTGGATCCTTTCTCTGGGTTTGAACTGGGGAAAGGATTGCAATATAAAGTGTTACATCAAAATGAAATTAGAGAAAGTGAATATAGTACAATAAAAAGGATATCATTATGATTGTAACAAAAGTGAACATCATAGACGCATAATAGTGGTTTTTTAAAACTCCAGTTACAGTAAAAAAAAAAATGTTTGAACATGTAAGGAGATAAAGCACTGAGTAGGCCTACATAGGGTTTGATGAAGTAGCCATAAAAGTTCAATTGAGGTTCTGTGATTTAAAAAATCTAATCTAAGTGCTTTAAATGGAATAGGAAAACCAGAATCAGATGGCCCAACATTTTCAAATTCAAGGGGGAAAACATTTAAAAGATGGAAAAGGTGTAAGACAAGATTGTGTGGTGTCACATCATCTCTTTAATACTTATATAGAACAATTTATATGAAAAGCCTACATTGAAAATCATGTAATGAAGATTGGTTGAAGATAGATAGTAATTGATAATACAGGCAAAATGAAGATTGGTTGAAGATAGATAGTAATTGATAATACAGGCAAAATGAAGATTGGTTGAAGATAGATAGTAATTGATAATACAGGCAAAGGATAAAAACAATAAAGTGGAAACTTTTAGAAATGAAGTGAAAAGCCTTAGAGTCTATGAGAGGTAATGGTGCAATGGTGCAATGGTGCAATGGTGTTTGCCTGATAGCAACCCTTTGGGAAGCAAGCCTAAGTTGCTCTTTAACAGAGGTTGTTGCTAACTGAATTTTTAAAATGGGGGGGAGGGTAGCCCTAATCTGCAACACCCCCCCCCCCCCCCCAACACACACACAAATCATCCCCCATTGACTCAATCATGTTTTAGAGGAGAAAAGCAAGACTGACAGACACACAGAAACAATAAATGGGTAGAACAAAAGTGAGAACTGCAAGTTTTTCCCTCCCAACCCATGTTTCTGAGGACGAATAAGAAAGAAATATACTCTACTTACCTATTGGCATACAAGGTGAACACAAATCTGTCTTTCGTATCATTTGTGTTTGTAGGTATCAGGTTGAGTGTAAACTCAGCCTGAGGACAAAACAGCAAACAGAAAAAAGATTTTAGCTCTCCTTGAGCATAACCTTATCTATGTGTAATGAAAACAAAATTATGAGGGATAAAGTAAACAAAATAATGAAGTTATAAATAAAGATTTTATAGACAACAAAGCAACTCCTTAGATGAATAAGAAAATCTTAATCTGAATTAGCTTGTTGTATCAAGAATATCAAATTCCTATTGTCTAAATCGTCTTATTCACCTTCCAGCGTGTCAATCTACGTCAGCACTCGACATTATTGTCCTATAAAAAGCTGACAATTTTTTATTTCTTAGCAATCTACATGAGCAGCTGTCAAAACTGAATGAGCTACAAAACACAGTGACAAATAGAGCACATGAATTTGAAGCCACTATACACACTTATTGAGCTTTAAGCAGTAGTTTGTCGTTAATTCACTATTTTAAAAAAATTAATAACTTTAAACAGTAAGTGGGAAAGATAATTAATAGCCTACTATAATTATTATTCTACTCAAAGAGAACAGGAAACACAAAAATAAGTTTTCAATATAAATATGCAGTAAACTTCTACCAAATGACGCAAAAAGTTAAGAAAGGATCATCATAATCAAGTGCCAGATCAGCGACAGACATCGGCGATCATGGTTCTCCATTCATTCCTTTGCTCGGATGCTCTTAAAAAAGTTACACTTCCCTGATCTTTCCCTTTTACCCATTTGTTTAGGTTCCCTAAGTACATTGCTCTGAGCCTATCCCTGCCTTGTTTGCCTTCAATTTCGCCAGTGAGAGCTTGATGTTCAAGACCCTTAAGTCTATTCAGTGGCAAAAAGTTCAAGGAAACTATTAATTAGAAAGATAAAGAGGCAGGAGAAGTAAATCTCATACTATGGACACTCACCCCAGTATTTTTCTTCATTGGGTTACCCAGATCACAGACAACAATCTTCTTGTCTGATTCAAGAGGTCCACAGCTGATAGGCACTGGAGACCTCTGGTTCGAGATGGTGTCATAAGTCACACCAGGGGGGAGGTTGATCCAAAGCTTAGTATTGAAGGAATCTTCACCGTTGTTATCAACAATAATCAAAACTTCCAAAGTTCCAGTGCTTCCAATGACATGAGCAGATGAAACTCTGAAAGTGGGATAATTATCATGATATGAATATTACACAATTAAATTTCCAGGATTGAAACATTAGAGTATTTATAATTACATTTAGGAATTATTATTCCAACTTCAGAATGTATTACGATGATGACAATCGAATAAACATAACAGCTGAAGGAAAGAAGTAATACATGAGGTCTACCATCTTACCAGTCCTCTTTCCAACCGAAGAAGTGCAAACAAAAAAACATAAAAAGACAAAGGTTAACACCCCCCACCCCCCTCCCCCCCTTACCAGTTTCAATCTTATCTGTACCATAAGGATAAAAAATTTAAAAGACAATCTTACCCCTTTCCCTATAGATAAGTAGCCTACATATACCAAATTGAGTTTTGTGCATTTTCAAGATTGTGAAATTGCATCAAATGCAGAGCTTAACTGAAGATAAGGTATTAGTAACTTGGAAAACTTCAATTAAGGCCAAGAATTAAACCTTTCAGCACTAGCAATAAAAACAAATTGGAAAATCAAATAAATATGTACCAACCTAATAGACCTAACTTGGAGATCTGGAATGCAAATGTTGTCTGGGCCACAGTCTTTCAAAATCTGAGCCTGAAAAGAAAGATTTTGTGGGGAATTTTATATAATCGTCCACCAGTTAAATAATTAATTTCTATCTTTTCCTTTAGGTAGAAAAAAAGACTAAAGCAGTGTGGTTTATAATTCGCTGTGATTACCAGACAAGCCAGAATCATGTGAAATAAGTAAACAAACTCAGTGTAGCCTAGTGAGTGTAGGAGAATAAGGCAGCACGGGGGGTATATAAACAGACGGCGAAGGTTAAACTGGCCTTCCGAGCCACGACTAAAACCTAGTCTGAGCAGGGATCGACGCTACTGGTGGGTCGATACAGTGGATGGAGCTCCGGACCTGTACGACCCACACTCATCATTCCCTGCTCGAAACAGTGAGTATTGAAACCAACGTAAATAGACTAACAAGTAGAATCTAGGATTAGATAGCAGTTTTCCTCTCATTACAAGCAGTCAGCAACTTTTTTGTCCGACAGAAAGGGGAAGGAGGCATATTTTCTCATAAGTCAATAGAAAAAAAAATATCTTCAAAGATTGAACAACTAAAAATTAAAGAGTTGTTGGGGAAGGGAAATAATAGAACACATTCCAAACCATAATAGAGGAAGATTATTTTACTGAAATGATAAAGCCAAGGCTGTCTTTTCAGAATCATAACATCATGAGCTTCTTTCATGAGCTTTTTTTTCGGTCTGTTCATTTTACTTCTTACACTTACACTTTACAGGAATATTTACTGACAGTGGGGTAACGAAGTGCAAGAAGAAAGCAAAATCTGAATTTAAAAAAAAAAATTTGAGAGAAGAAGTGCATTCTTAAAAAACAAATCTTTCATGCATACATACTGTAAATGATGTAGTAGTCGGAATGTATGCATCAAGGATAGGTGGCAGTTCACGTCTTCTCCTGGACAAGAGCCCGTCTTCGTTGAGCTTAAAGTCCAGAGTGGCCTTGATAGGACTCAGTTTGTCAGCAGGATCACTCTGCAGAATTCATCACAATGAAAAGCTAATGATCTAATCAATCATATTTTTAAACTCAATTGAAAAAAAATGTTGACAGAAATAAGGTGAGATTTACAGTCATAAATCATAAGATCTTACAAAATTCATACAAACATATTTTTTTTTCTTTTAACAAAGATAATTTAGAGAGAGCAAAAAAATCCTACTACAATAAAGTAACTGGAAGTCAAGAAACTTTATCAATATCAATTAAAAGGATTATGAAAGCCAAAATAAAAGTTAAACCAATACTAACAAAATTATTCAACTGAGCACTCGGTCTTCAGAGAAACAACTTTCCTTGCAGTTTGTTTCCACATTATGGGCGTGTACATACCGTGACATACGCATAGGAACTTGTGCAGAATGTGTTTTTCTTCTGCAGTTTGTGCGTCTTCGTCTCTGTGAACTTGTTGATGCTATTGGTGTAGAAGGCTCGCTGCTCCTGAGCAGAGCTGTTGTTCTCTCTTGCATCCAATACCCATGAAATGTCAAAATCTGAAAAGCAGCAGTTCAAATCACATAAAACGAATAATCAGAATAATACAGTGCATGTCTTTGTTCATGATATCTGTATTTCTGTGATTCTTTGTGCGCTGGTTTGTATGTGTGGGAGAGTTTGTGCCCCTGTGTGTGTGTACGGGTATGTGTGTGTGTTTGTGTGTGTGTACGGGTATGTGTGTGTGTTTGTGTGTGTGTATGTGTGAGTGTGTTTGTGGGTGTAAGAGAGAATATGTGTACATTTAACAATAAAGAGTTAAAAATTACGCACAGAGATGTGAAATGTTTCCATGCACCTTCGTTGATACACTATCTTTTTCAGTTTAGGAAAATTCCATAAAATCTGTATGATATGAAGTATACATCAGTACAATATGAACAAATTAAAAAAATTACAGTTCCCTTTTGAAGAAGATTATCTTGATATAACAACTTATTAATCAAAATATCTTTTTTGTAGCAGATAATAAGGTAACACAATAAACATTTTTCAGAATACCAACAACATAGTTTTTATCATTCATGACCCCCCCCCCCAAAAAAAAAAAACCAAAAAAAAACCCAACAACAACAACAACAAAAAACAACAAAAAACAAACCCACAAAAAAACACAAAAAACCCCCAAAAACAACAACAACCGCTAAACAAACAAAAACTACAGCATAACTTACACAACTCATCTGGCACTCCCACTCCATTATATTCAATACAGGTGTACACAGTCAGGCTGCAGAGAAGGAAGGGAAAGTTTTCAATTTTCACGTTGTTTCATAAAGTTTAGTAATGCATAAGACATGAAATAAGTCTGAAACAGTAGTAGTAACTTTTTCTAATGTTCAAAATGTGATGACATGCTAAAGAAAATCTCAAGGGTAATATATCACAGCCATTTTAACTGTCTTGATATAGAGAATATACAAAGTGTATACAACAGAAAAAAATAAAATGCGACTGCTGACTCACCAAGGTACTCTTGTGTTGTCCGCCAAAGAGCATGATTTTGAGTCCAAATTAATATTTTCCGGCTGAAGCTTCAGACTTGCATAAACCCGAACCACTGGTCTGGTCCTGAAAAACAATAACGCAAATGGTAAAATGAAAGAGAATAAGTCTAAATACTGTATGAAGAGATGCTTACTGGATGAGACCCCAAATATGTGTTATAAAAGTTATAAATATAATATAGCAAAAACCATACAAGCACTAAAGGCCTAAATAAACACGAACGAGCCTAAACACACAAAGTAAAGCACCCATGCCATTCACATACTCTGCTAATCCAACATGTCATATTCTCGCTCAGGCACTCCATCAGATTGGCTGGTACCCTGCTGGGCTATGGGTGTCAAGGACCTTGCCTTAATCCTCTTTGGGGCTTTCTTCAACTTGGGTTGGTTAGGAAGTTTTTTTAAGGCTCTCCGCTTAGTTGGCTTCATGTTATCAGAGAAGAACACTGAATTTAAGATCCCGTCTCTTGAAGAACCTTCAGAATTGAAAGACTTGTTTAACTCATACCATCCCTTACTGTCTTTTTTACTAGGTGGCGGAAAAGTTTTTGTAAACTAGTTCCCTATCACAAGATGTTCCTGACAGAATAATAAATCTCAGTGGCTTATCTCCCTCACATCACAGAAGCTTATTAAGTAAGAGAAGGAGTAAAAAGCTCTTTAAAAAGCAGAAAAAAATCTCTCCATGTAAACATTAAAGAATAGTATGTTTTCACTCACCTCAAAAAAACTGCTTTGTCCGATTCATAGGCTCCTACCAACATGTCAGGGTAAGAGTTGCCATCCTGGTCCCAACCCCCAGATATTGAAATTCCAAAAGTTCGCAGAGACGGCTCCACATCTTTGGCATAAATGATCTGTTTCAAAGAGACATACAGGGAAAAAAAGTGAAACAAAAAAAAATAAAAGGACTTCAAATCTCTCCGCACCATAGCCCCAAAATTCCATCTATATTCCATTACCAGAGTTTTACTCCCTGAAATGTTTTTTCCATTATCGTCTCACAAAAAAGCTCTAATTTGTGAAAAAAAGTAAAAACAATTTTGTCCACAGAAAAATTAATAGTAATAGAAATAGCTCAATGCTGTAAAGAACATTTCCCCCTAAATGATTTTTTTTAAAAGTTGCTTTGTGACACCCAATTTGTGTACGGCAAAATGTATAGAGACTTCTAGTGTTTCAGGGGATATACCTGAGAAGCTTCGGTAATGATGCCCTTCTTTGAGCCGTGATAGATGTAGATAGCTCCCCTTTTGTCTTTTCCAGCATAGGGTGACCCAACACACAGATCTGAAATACAGAAAACATACACAGTTCCAGTCCAACGGTACATAATGTTTTCAGTTCCAATTCAGGACCTTTCTTAACAAAAGTGATATGATGAACTTTACTATGTAAGCATTCCAGAAAAATAAGAGGTGAAGAGACCTGATATAAGCAGATTTACTCCTTGAGTCAGGAAGTAGTCATCTTTTAAGAAGTCTTTTGTTGGGGAACTTGTGGTCGTCAAACAGGAAATAAAGTTGGTTTAATAATCTTTGTACAATATATCTTCTCTGCTGCAAAATAAAGGCATAATTAAGATTATTTTGAAATTAATGAGCCAAAAAAAGTTACCAAAATGATAAAAGATAAGAGAGAAAAGAAGAAAATGCAATTACCATCATATCCATCATAATTGATGTCGCCCAAACCACTAAGTGCAATTCCAAAACGTGATCCACTGAATGAACCGTCCAGTATGTCTCTCTTCTGGTTTCTGAAGTTTCTCTGGAATACAAATATGAAATACATTTTACAAACAAATGTTTATTAGCTGCTTTTGTTTAATCATGTACACAAACATTCAAAAGACATAAAAGACACAAAGACACACACGTTCCTAAATTTTGGGTAGAGAACACATATCAGTCTGTCTATCTATCCATAATTTATCCATTTACTAATAGATCTATCCGTCTCTCACACCACATATATACATGTATGTGTGTACATGTGCATACACAAACACATTGTATATTTATGTGTCTACGTGTACCTTACTTATATGTATATATATATATCTATACACTCACGTGTGTAATATCTGTGTGGATGTGGGTGTGGCTGAGGGGGAGTGTGCCTACG